CAGTTATTATACAGTTGCCTTAAACTTAACACCCCTCTTGCCAAGTGGTACTACCGTAGAGGTTTTTTAAACATTGCAATGTATCGTAATGGTTATTTTTAGAATGGCAAACTGATGCAGCTATTAATACGTGTTGTAAACGTAGACACTACTAGACTAGTACAATAATGCTAAATTGCTGAGTGAAAAGAAATCTTTTGATTTACATAGATGTGCCGGCCAAAAATATTTTTAACAAATATCATTGTTTAAAACTGAGTTTTAAAAGTTTCCAAAAAGGCGCCACTTTGCTGAAAATGACCAGAGGGGGAGCGGCCGCTCCCCCTGCTCCCCCCCTGCGTACGCTACTGGTATGTATATACATACATATATATGTATATATATGTATATATGTATGTGTATACATACATACATATATGTACATATGTATGTATGTATATATATATATATATATATATATATATATATATATATATATATATATATGTATATACATACATATATATATATATATATATATATATATATATATACATATATATACATATATATATATATATATATATATATATATATATATATATATATATATATATATATATATATATATACATATTTCAAAATACAAAACAAAACTGAAATAGAAAGCAAAACTATTCAATCACAAATATTTCTCTAAGTGTTGTCTACAATAGTGCTGTTACTTTTATTTAAAAAAAAAGGGGGGGGGGGTCTTACATTTTACATGTACATCTTCATTTATAAAAAAAGAGGCTGATATGTGTTTGACGTTCACAGCTGATACACAAATAGCATAGTTAAATTACAAATATTGTTTACTTTAACCCACCTGGATATAATTATCTAAAAATATAGATTCTTGTGGGTGCAAAATTTGAGACGTTGGATTTGTGTTCCTCTCTTCTCTAGGTGGACGTGCTGTATTACTGGACTCAGACAGACTCGCTGCTTTATGTGTCACTTGTGCTCGTCTGTTTCCGCTGACTTCAAAGCTAGACTCCCCAAAAAAAACTCTCCTAAAGTCGTTTCTTGTTTGCTCCCTCTCATAATCTCTCTGATAACGGTGAATGTAATCCAGACACTCAGACTCTAGCGACATCCTGGATTTGGTGGAGATGGATTCATTGTTAGCTAGAAGCACCACGTGGGAACAGAATCTGACAACTTCAACTGTCAACTGTTGACAGAATCTGACAACTTACTTAACTGTCAACTGCACAACTGTTGACAGAATCTGATAACTTACTTAACTGTCAACTGCACAACTGTTGACAGAATCTGACAACTTACTTAACTGTCAACTGCACAACTGTTGACAGAATCTGACAACTTACTTAACTGTCAACTGCACAACTGTTGACAGAATCTGACAACTTACTTAACTGTCAACTGTCCATTTGTTGACAGAATCTGACAACTTACTTAACTGTCAACTGTCCATTTGTTGACAGAATCTGACAACTTACTTAACTGTCAACTGCACAACTGTTGACAGAATCTGACAACTTACTTAACTGTCAACTGTCCATTTGTTGACAGAATCTGACAACTTACTTAACTGTCAACTTTCCATTTGTTGACAGAATGTGACAACTTACTTAACTGTCAACTGCACAACTGTTGACAGAATCTGACAACTTACTTAACTGTCAACTGTCCATTTGTTGACAGAATCTGACAACTTACTTAACTGTCAACTTTCCATTTGTTGACAGAATGTGACAACTTACTTAACTGTCAACTGTCCATTTGTTGACAGAATCTGACAACTTACTTAACTGTCAACTGTCCATTTGTTGACAGAATCTGACAACTTACTTAACTGTCAACTGTCCATTTGTTGACAGAATCTGACAACTTACTTAACTGTCAACTGTCCATTTGTTGACAGAATCTGACAACTTACTTAACTGTCAACTGTCCATTTGTTGACAGAATCTGACAACTTACTTAACTGTCAACTGTCCATTTGTTGACAGAATCTGACAGTGACAACTTACTTAACTGTCAACTGTCCATTTTTTGACAGAATCTGACAACTTACTTAACTGTCAACTGTCCATTTGTTGACAGAATCTAACAACTTACTTAACTGTCAACTGTCCATTTGTTGACAGAATCTGACAACTTACTTAACTGTCAACTGTCCATTTGTTGACAGAATCTGACAACTTACTTAACTGTCAACTGTCCATTTGTTGACAGAATCTATCCACTGTAAAAAAAAAATACTCACGCGCCGGCGTCGCTCCATATTCTGAACTCCATTTTGTGGTACTCCAGAAGACTGCTTGTTGTAACTTGTATGACAAACTGATGGTTTAGTTGTAAAACTAGAGTAACAGATACTTATATCCTGATTCTAGTGATTTCAGTTTCTGTTTTGGGCGCGGCTGTTGTTGATGCCTTATCGGGGATTTCCTATGTGTTTCCTAACTAGTAGGTTAAGTCATGTATTTATTTTTCAAAGGCAGTTTACGGTCAATTTTGTCTCCACAATGGGCAAGGGGCATTTCTCTGAGTCTGATGGGGAAAAACGACCCCCCCCATACACACACCCTGAACGAAAAATAGAATTTATACTATTATTTAGAAAATATATACTTTTGAAAGTTTAATCCGACCCCATAAAGTTTTAAGTGGCCCCCGGGAAAAAAGTCTGAATCGCTCTACCATTGGACCATGCCGTTCCACGAAGGATGTAAAGATGCACAATAAAGTGACAATTTTGTGATGGGGAGGCACCTTAATTGTACTTGCCTAGTGTTGAACTAAAGAATGCATGTGGCGAGTTTTTTTTACTTTCTCGTATACGAGAAAGAATTGTAATCGTGCAAAAAAAAAAACACGAGATTTTTACAAATCTGGACGTTTTACACCTCCCTGAGCTGATAGTGTGCACTTTTTTTTTTACGACGGTATGGGCTGAAGTGCTCATGTGTGATGCGCTCCGAATGACACTGCCAGTGGCGTAGCCAGGATCGTCTCAAGGAGGGGCTGGGGGTTTCAATTTTTACCCGGGGACAAACTTTCGATTTGCACCCCCCTCAAACTTTCGATTTGCACCACCCCCCCTCAAACTTTTGATTTGCACCCCCCCTCATACTTTATATATATATATACCGAGGGGTCTATGGGGAGGTTATGACCCCCCTAACCCCCCCCCCCCCCTGCCTACGCCACTGGACACCGTAGCCGGTAGATTCAAGTAGTAATAAGCTGATCCCAGGTGCAAAGATAACCACTGGGAATCTAAATCACATATTTCCGTGGGCATTACCAATGCTTTACCAATACTTTTCTTTATAGTAATTTAAATTGTAGTGTAAAGAAAATCATTTATTTTCTCCTTTTTAGGGCATTATTACATAAAAGCTAGTTATTAAAACGTTTTTAATGCAATTTTGTTTTATTCCCTTGCATGCAGCAGTTGGAAAATCAGTTGAAATTTTATTGAAACTAATTTCTGAAAAAAGCGCACCTCTTCTGAAAATGGGCTTGGTGCTACTGCAAGCATATAAGCCTCTAACACAAAGTTTTTGTTAAAACGAGATTTAGAGTTCTCTGAATTACGACCAAGTGCTTTTTGTTTCCGTTTTAAGCTGAGGCTCTTTTTTTTTGCCTATCTGGGAATTTCCAATTTGCTTTACTCTGCCGTTTATATCATCACAGAAATGGGCATAAACAACGTGCGTATTTCCTCTCCAGGGTGATCTATATTTAGCTTCTATTCATAGGCTAAAATATTTTTAGAATTTGTGAAAGTATGTTTCTTTTGTTTCATATATTATTGTCACTTTCTCACTTATCTCAGTAACGTAAAAAAAAAAAAAACAACAACAATGTTTAATTTTGGAAATATAAATTTATTATTAAAAAATTGTAAATTGTGAAACCGTATATTGAACACATCCATATCTTAGAATGAAAGGTAACAGGATTAATATAAATAATATTGCATTTTTCGTGGTAATAATTGAGTTCAACAATAGTAAGGTAGACATTAGATTGAGGAGCATATAGGGTAGCGATTTCCATAATGAGAATATACTTCAATATAGAACACACACTAAAATATCGTACTCTGTCTGTAATCTAGTAAACCTATCTGTAATCTAGTAAACCTATCTGTAATCTAGTGAACCTATCTGTAATCTAGTAAACCTATCTGTAATCTAGTAAACCTATCTGTAATCTAGTAAACCTATCTGTAATCTAATAAACCTATCTGTAATCTAGTAAACATATCTGTAATCTAGTAAACCTATCTGTAATCTAGTGAACCTATCTGTAATCTAGTAAACCTATCTGTAATCTAGTGAACCTATCTGTAATCTAGTAAACCTATCTGTAATCTAATAAACCTATCTGTAATCTAGTAAACCTATCTGTAATCTAATAAACCTATCTGTAATCTAGTAAACCTATCTGTAATCTAGTGAACCTATCTGTAATCTAGTAAACTAAACGCATAGTTTTTGGTTGGTTTGTTTACATACAATAATGAGACAAAGACACAAATTTCATAAGGACTGACGTTATTCATTGTTAAAAAACAATTCATTATATACAATATGTGCATTAAGATAAAAGTAACGCCATTATTTGAGACCCACAATTGATGTAAGTACGTTAATTAAAGAAACATATTTTAGTCTCTAACTAATATATTTTAATTACACGATACTGATTGTGTATGTTTTAATAAGATAATAAAGTAAATTGAAAAATGAACAACTGAAGATATCTAGAAATCTGAAGCAACATAACAACACATTCCCCGATGCAGTTAAAAACAATATGGCCTTTGTTGTTTTTACTATGGTTTTAAAGACAATATAATTGTCTTTACACAATAATGTGAGTTCTAAACATTTTATAATTTGAACAGATGTAGATGTCACAATTCTTATTATTTTATACTATAATTCAAACAGTTTTAAAATAATAGCTTTTCTAACTTTCAACTGAGACTTATTTTTAATCAAAACATTTAATAGTTTAAATTTTTCATCAGGTATTTCATTTTAAACATTCTAAATTTCCACTGAATTTTAAATCCTCAACACCCCATATAAAAGTTTTCTTTTTTTTTTGTAACTTTAAAATAATGCCAACACAGATTACCGTAGTGTAGAGTTGACCTTAACGTCAGACCTACACACAGGGCACGATGCGTTACACTGTAGAGGAGAAGAAATAAACTGCTCTATAGACCTGTCAAACTAGTTTTCAATTTAGTAACTTTGAATTAGAAGAAATTAAAAAAAAAGCCTCCACAAACTGTTAAAAAAAAACCTCGCTATACAGTGTGTTTTGTTAAACACAAATTCAAATGTAAAACCCGGAGATCCGTAAAGTTTTTTAAAAGGAAGTTTTAAAGGTGTTTATTACAGCGACACTTTGTTTATGGACTGGGTGGGGGGAGAACATAAAGCATGTTGTGGTTGCTATGGGAAACTAGATTTAACAACAAACATTCACCTTGACTACCAAGCTTATGATTTATTTCTGTGGCAAGTGAAGAGTAGAGAAGGGAATGGAGTGGATCCCCCCTGAACACGGCACATAAATTACAGAACTTCCCCACAGACAGTGGCGTAGGAATTTGTGGATTGTCGTCCGCGTCTCGACCCCCCCCCCCCTCCACTAACACCCTCTGCATACGCCACTGCCTGCAGATACCAACAGGGGTAGACCGGCTGTGTCCAAGAGGCCCGGGAAATTTTAAAAGGGGCCCCAACCCCAGATTAAAATTTTCATTAAGCATTTCTTTTTCTTCAAAGTCTGATGATCATACTCAGCGTGATGGAAATTAATGCGACAATTTCTTTTTTAAATCGAGGCTTTAAGGGGCCCACAATTTTTTTTCCTGGGGTCCCACATTGTTTTACCTGTGGTGGCCCACCTGATTTTTCCCCAGTAGACCAGCAGGCTAGTCCACCCCTGGATACCAATTAGTCTTATCAGTGGCTTCGCTAGGTCCGGTGTCACCCGGTGCCGCACCCCCCCCCCAAAATATAGTGTTATATATTATAGTTGTTGTTACTTTCCCCCCCCCCGTCCCTCCATCGGGTGATAGTTTTAAAGTGTATACAGTTAATAGTGAAGATATGTATCTAGTTAATAACATACCTGGATTAACTCAAATTTATCATTGATTGAACTGGCAAAAAGCATATGTCTTCTATATATTAATATATGTTGCAACTGTTGTCACCCGGTGCGGTCCGCACCCCCACCCCCGCCTAGCGACGCCTCTGAGTCATATACTTGTAACCACGTTGATCTACTAGCCCAGGGGTCTCCACTTTTCAGTCCGAGGGCCGCATTAACTATCAAATTTCAGTTCGGGGGCCAGTTTCTTCCAGTCATGTCTTTTATTTTTCTGGGCAAAGTTCCTCAGCCATCACCAACAAACGTTTTTTCCTTGGACAAAAAGTTCTCCATCTCCGCGGGCCGGATGAGAGGACTTCGCGGGCCGCATCCGGTCCGCGGGCCGTAGTTTGGAGACCCCTGTACTAGCCGATTAATTTTGGAAGCTTGGGGAAGATAATTCTTAATTAATACTTACTTGCAACCATTTGTCAATACAAGCTTGATGAAACTGATGCTTGCAAGGCAGATTCCGCATTACTTCCCCTCGCACGAACTCTGATAAACAAATGTTGCACGTCTGCTGAGATGGGCCGCGGTTGGCGGGAAAACGCGACGTCTGCAACTTGTTGATGTCGTTTTGACTTAGCCCCGTGCTCACGACACCAACATGATCAGCCAGATTCAGCAATGACTAGGGCAGAAAAAAAACGAGCCAAACTTAGATTCAGGAATCACTTGGACAAAAAAAAAAAAAAACAAGCCAAAAATAGATTCGGATAGTCTCTTTTTAATTTTTTTTTATTTGGTTGGCGTAATATTGAAGGGTATGGAACTTATGGGTAGTTACAAAAAAATTCTTTATAGTCATGCTAAGCTTAGTATGTTTTTAAACGAGTTTCTTTTAATATAAACGAATAAGTAAGTTCTATGTAAGCGTCCATACCTCATAAGATTCCGCAGCCGACAAAGTGTTGTTGTTGCCATTTAGCTGAAACTATGAAGCGGAAGAGAAACACATTACAATGCCATAAGGGACGTCCATAAATAACGTCACACTCGTAAAGGGGAGGGGGTCCGTAATTTTGTGACGATATGCAATGACTGGGCATGGGGGGGGGGGGGTAGATAATGTGACGTCACACTTTTGTATTTAAAAAAAAAGTAATGTTAGAAAATAAATTTTAGCCATTATTTCGCATTTTAGACAACTGATTTATAAAAATGATTTAATAAATTTAGTAGAAATTGATTAAAATACTCTAAATTGACCGAAATTAGTCAATATTTTAGACAAAAATCGATGCTTAAAAAAATAATAATTAAACTGCAATTTTGAGGGGGAGGGGGTCGTTGGCTGAGGGGTGACGTCATTTTAAGGGGTGGTAGGGTCTGGCTTTTTAAGACGATGTGTGACGGAGGTGAGGTAAAAATCGTCTAAAAAGAGTGACGTCATTTATGGATGACCCCTAACGTACATTTTTTGTGAGACGTGGAAAGGGGGGGGGGGGGGGGGGGGTGAAATGTTTAAAAAATCTGACGAATGATGAAAAGTAAGTACAAGGTCTGAATAAGAGTTATACATAGGTTTAAAAAGTATTTCAAGGTTACAAGAGAGAGTATTAAGAAAACCTGTATAAAGGTTTTGATACAGAGGCTAAAGATTGAATAAAATAAAATGGTGTCAGCTACCTGCACAAAAGGATTATCGTCTTCTTCGTCATCCACCATCCCTCCTGGTAGTGGTACTGGCAAATCGAACTCCCAGCACGGATTAAAAGGTACGACCATGACCGGATGTGACCCTTGATGTTGGGGACCACCGTGTCTTCTGTCTCTGGGCGGACGTGGCGCTTGTCGTGACATAGACGGATGTGGGTCACGTGATCCAGGCCGGGCACCACGTGGTCTGTTCTCTTGTGCGTACTCTTGCTGCTGTAGTTCAAACGCCAGCTCGAAGCTGCCGTCCTCAGCAAGCTGCCGCTGCAGTTCTCTCGCCAAGGTCAGGGAAATTTCCTCCTGCTGCTGGACTTGCCTGGCGACCTCCAGACTGCTAGCAGACGCCAGCTCGCCCTCCTGCAGCTGTAGCTGGACTTGCCTGGCGACCTCCAGACTGCTAGCAGACGCCAGCTCCTCCTGCAGCTGTAGCTGGACTTGCCTGGCGACCTCCAGACTGCTAGCAGACGCCAACTCGTCTTCCTGTTGCTGGAGCTGTCTAGCGATCAGCTCCGAGTTTGCGGCAGCTGTCTCCTGCTGCTGCAGACACATGGCCAGGGCTGCGCTGTGCTCTAAGGACAGCTCCTGGTACTGGAGCTGGAGTTGCCTAGCAACCTCATAGTTGCTGGCAGCCTCGATCTCCAGCTCCTGCAGCTGTAGGGCCAGCTCCCATGCATCATCTCCAGACATGGAGGACAGTTTTTTTAAAAACAGGCAAACGTTAAACTAAACGACTAGGGCTTATGTTGAGAGACGAGGGAATAAGATCTCTTGATGGATTAGTTAAATACATGATATCATCTGGGGAGAAGTCAAAAACGTGTTGTAGTTTAGTTTTAAATATATATCATACGAGGCATATACACACATGTATATAAATGAATCTAAATTAAAATATAAGTCATATATATATATATATATACATACATATATATATATATATATATATATATATATATATATATATATATATATATATATATATATATATATATATATGTATGTATATATATATATATTGGCAAAACTCATCTATATAAACATATATTAGATATTTATTTACATACATATAAACTCATATATATATATATATATATATATATATATATATATATATATATACTTTTACATAATATGTAAATGTATATAAAATAAGTATACATATATGTATACTATATATAGATTTCTGTTGAATATTATAGGCTGCATAAGGTTATATTTAATTATAAATAGGCCAATGTAACCACTGTAAAAAGGATCTTTTTCAATGAAAAGTTAGGCCTACTATTATCTTTAGCATAATTAAGTCACTTGTTATCTCATTAACACCAAAGCCTAATTACTTGGTCTGCCTAGTTAAGTCATAATTCACTATTTCATATTGAATCTAATGTCATATCAGTGTCATAATACACTATTTCCTATCAGTTTCTCCCCCCCCCTCACGAAGGAAATGGATTTTATATAGAACATATATACTTTCAAGTGCCCTACCCCCTGGAAAAAAAAGTCAGAAAGAAACACTGTTTCTTATTGAATCCAATGTCACGTCAGTGTCATAATACACTATTTCCTATTCTATCTACTGTCAAGGTTAGCCTAGAAAGTGTCATAATACACCATTTCCTTTTTAATCTAATACCATGTTTTGCCTAGAAAGTGTTATCAATTTCCTGTTGAATCTACTTACCATGTTCAAGAAATGATCATAGCACTTAGCAGCCACCTTAATTTGAAGAACTTGAAGGCTTATGTAATATAGTCTTCGAGATCTATTTTTGCGACTGTTTTCCAGGAATGATGACATAATCCTTTTAGTTTCTGTTTGCACGCCATGTATTTATTTACATAAATAAACTGATCGGAAATTCCCTGTTTGTTGTTTGCCTTTGCAGGGGTGTTGATTTATCTTGTCAACCGCAGGTATAGTCGATACTTTAGCCTGCGGTAGGATTAGCTTTAGTAAGAAGGGTTAGGTTGTTTTGAGGACTTTAGTGAGAATCTGTGTCGAGGGGGGAGAGGGAGGGGTTAAATTGAAAATGCGACGTCACACTTCGGTATCTTAAAAAGTGTGAGGGGAAAAATGGAGGCAAATAAATAGTATGACGTCATTTATGGAGTCCTTTGAATCACATGAGACAAGTTAAAACCAAGTAGTTGTAAGGAAGATGGTATTTATGTAGCCTATATTGTAGACGTTATATGTGAACATTTAAAAGAAATGTGTCTTCACTAGAACGTGAGGTAAGAAAAAAACAGACTACACATTTCATGGGTGGAGTTAAGCTAGATTTGGTATCGATTAGGAGCCATAGTTGTGGGTTTAGATTTATAAGCTGATCGAAGTGTGTTGAACACACTGGGCTGGGCTAACACAGGAGACCATAACAAGTATTGTTTACGGGGGTCGTTAAAGGTTGTTGTTTTAAATAGGGGTAGAAGGTAACTGGGTCCTCTTTTTCTGACGAACAGGTGGGGAGAATATCCCGAGTCCACACAGCGTCAAATTATGAATGGTTTTCTAGATAGTTAAATGTTACATACAAAGCATGAACATTAAAACACAATCAGAGGTTCACATTTCTGTGAGGCTGACAATAATAACAGCCCGGAGCAGCCACGGTACCAACAGCCACAGAAAAAACACAACCAAAAAACATACAACCACACAAACCACAACAACCACAAAACATACAGCCACATAAAAAACACAACCAAAAAACACAACCACAGAAAAACACCACCACAGAAAACATACAGCCACAGAAAAAACACAACCACAGAAAACACAACCATAATAAATTTAATACCACAGAAAACACAACCACATGTATTTTTATTTAAAAGACGTTTATTCATCCTGTCTACACATTAAAAGAAGTCTGTTCACATTCAGCCTATATTACATCACTTTATTCCCATTCAGTTCATGGTGCGGGCCATGTTTGTAAGTGTCAGCATATAGCCCACACAATACACCATGTGTTGTGTATCACCATATTGTAACAAGACAACCTGTATCACCATAAAGCTACCACCAGAGAACCTGTATCACCATATAGCTACCACCTACAACCTGTATCACCATATAGCTACCACCTACAACCTGTATCACCATATAGCTACCACCTACAACCTGTATCACCATATAGCTACCACCTACAACCTGTATCACCATATAGCTACCACCTACAACCTGTATCACCATATAGCTACCACCTACAACCTGTATCACCATATAGCTACCACCAGACCACCTGTATCACCATATAGCTACCACTAGACAACCTGTATCACCTTATAGCCTATCACAGCATTGTAAATGGACACAACTAATTACCCCAGGAGTAGAAAACCATTACCAAGAATCTTAATGTCAATTTTTTTCTAAATGATGTTCACAGAGATATACTATATGGATCCCCCAAACATACAGCACAAGATGGAACGATAGATTGTGAAATTGAAAACATAGACTTTAAAATTCAAATGCACCTAGAGTAAATGATAGAGAACAACAAAGATCTATTCATGATGCACCAATCAAAACAGTTGTATATAAAAGGAGGCAAGTTATTTAAGCCCGTCAGTTTATAAACAATAGAATACCTGTAAATTAAACAATATGTCTAAACCTATATTTTACATGGTTTTCTTTCAAGAAGAGTTCATTTCATATGCCATAAACAGGTAAGAGGTGACATTTGTGAGTAATTAATTAGCTTAAGTACATAATACACTTTCATTTTTTTTTTCAAAACTAAACTCAGTCAAATTTCAAATAAACTTAAGTCATATTTCAAACGATACTAAATCATATTTCAAATAAACTTAAGTCATATTTTTAACAAAAATTCAACAAGCATCATGTTATACAGACATAATATAATGAATACCTTAAAATATTTTCATGTTATGAATTAATGTTAAAAGTATAAATTTCAAATAAATTTTAAAAATACCTCGGAAAATAGTTTTTAAAATTATGCGAAATTAATTTTAATAATTTAGTTTATTTAATACTTAAACTATCTATAATAAATATTGGCTCAAAAATCAACTTTATAAACATTATAGAAGATATATGTTATATTATAAATAAGAACCTTATGGTAAATCCGATGGGCAATATTAGAGTTGCAGTTACAATAAATATTTTATTAATGCATAATATTTTACCAATAAAAGCTTATTTTTAAAAAACTTGATCAAGTAGTCATGTTTTAACAAGAGTATAGGTGAGATAATTTATAAAAAATTGATACAATTCAATATAAAATATAACGTGCTTAAAGTTGATTTTTGTTAGACACAAATAAATCACTTTGAGCCTCATGATTGTGAGGTGGTGAAGTAATACAGTAGTCTAACAGAGTGGTGTCCCTTGGTTACAGTGCTCTCCCCTTCACAACATCAGAACAGCACACAAAGAAACAGCCAATAGAGTTTCAAGGTTTTATCCATGTGATCTTGTCTAGCTATCACTGTATAGACTGTCACTAAAAGCCCAGAGTGACAATACTAAGGAGGTCAGGTAGTGTCAAGGTCACATCAAGAGACAGCTGACATGAGGTAGGGGAACAGGGAGACAACTCATGCTGGTCTGGCTGTAAGGGTTTCATATTAGATGGGTGTTGTGTGGGTAGTTGTGATAAGCAATGGGTACATGAATGTCATGTGTCCCGTGTGTCATGTGTTTGTCCATGAATACAAATATAAGACCCCACTATACCAGTCTATCCAGACAGTTTTTTGCACAATTTAACTACAAAGCCAAGTTGCATATAATAAAACTTTAGTATAATCTTTGATCTAGCCAATACTAAAAGTAATATACAAAAGCCAATACACTTATTCCAACAATCCAATCAACCAGTTTTATGACTACCACTTTAAAACAGACCATAATTCCCACCAACCAGTGGTGTGACAACCACTTTAAAACACAATCAGAGAATAAAAAACATTCAGGTAACAAAAATATTTGAGCAAACATCAAGTATAATCAGCAAGAAATATTTTCCTAGAGATATTATCTTGAAAAATTCATCAAATACCCAGTATTGTTTATACAGCGTATTACAACATTCATTGTTACTAATTGCATAATATAATATTCTAAATTTCACAGTACACTTTTCATAAAAGACAAGTTTAAGTATTCCAAAGCAAATATAGAATTAGGAATAGAGAAGGAAAAAACCATTGCTTCACATAATCATATACTGTTACCTAACATCAGTCTCTATCGAGAGCAACTATCATTCACATATTTCACACAACACATGACAACATGGTTTTATTAAATCACGCTTGGATTTGAAACTGATTTTAAAGGACAGTGAATATAATGCAATCAATCTGTGTTTAAAAATGTATTGGTTTAAAAATATTTGTGAAAGATAAAAATTTGTGATTCATGTTTGAGTCGGAATACAAACAAGACATACACCAATGGGCATCTGACCAAACAAGACACAACTGTGGACATCTGACCAAACAAGACACACCAATAGACATCTAACCAAATAAGACACACCAATGGACATCTAACCAAACAAGACACACCAATAGACATCTAACCAAATAAGACACACCAATGGACATCTAACCAAACAAGACACACCAATGGACATCTAACCAAACAAGACACACACCAATAGACATCTAACCAAACAAGACACACCAATAGACATCTAACCAAACAAGACACAACTGTGGACATCTGACCAAACAAGACAAACCAATAGACATCTAACCAAACAAGACACACACCAGTTGGCACCTTACCAAACTAATGAGAAAGACTTGTGCATATTAAAACATTTTTTCTTTACAATAATTCAACATTTTACAAAATATATATAAAAAGTAAAAAAAAAAAATTTGCCCTTGATAGCAAACATTTACTTTACCTCTGCCAACAAACATTCACTTTATTCTTTAAAATCTCTTGCAAACAAAAACATTGACCTTTGAACTTTCTCTCCATTGGTTCCCGGCTATCCTAGTGTCATCAAGACCTTTGCCTGACCTCTGACCTGCACACTGGACATGTTCTATTGGTCTAGGAAAACAAGTTTAAAAAAATAATTTGAATACCCATCATAGTTAAACTTGTATCTTGGACAATTTACATCTAAACTACACTAATAGCCAAACTACATCCCTACCAATAGCCAAACTACATCCCTACCAGAAGCCAAACCACATATATATCAATAGCCAAACTACATCCCTACCAATAGCCAAACTACATCCCTACCAATAGCCAAACTACATCCCTACCAATAGCCAAACTACATCCCTACCAGAAGCCAAACTACAACCCTACCAATAGCCAAACTACATCCCTACCAATAGCCAAACTACATCCCTACCAATAACCAAACTACATCCCTACCAATAGTCAAACTGCATCCCCACCAATAGCCAAACACATATCCCTAACAATAGCCAAACTACATCCCTACCAATAGCCAAACTACATCCCTACCAATAGTCAAACTACATCTCTATCCCAGATGTAAAGCCCTGTAGTTTAACAACTCCCAATAATGTAAAGCCCTGTAGTTTAACAACTCCCAATAATGTAAAGCACTGTGGTTCAACAACCCCCCATAATGTAAAGCGCTGGGGGTCAACAACCCCCCATAATGTAAAGCGCTGTGGTTCAACAACCCCCCATAATGTAAAGCAATGTGGTTCAACAACCCCCCATAATGTAAAGCAATGTGGTTTAAAACTCCCCATAATGTAAAGCACTAGGGTTTAACAACTCCACATAATGTAAAGCACTGTGGTTTAACAACTTCCCATAATGTAAAGCCTTGTGGTTTAACAACCCCCATATAATTCAAAGCCCTGTGGTTTAACAACCCCCCATAATGTAAAGCAATGTGGTTTAAAACTCCCCATAATGTAAAGTGCTGTGGTTTAACAACTCCCCATAATGTAAAAGCTGTGGTTTAACAACTCCCCATAATGTAAAGCACTGTGGTTTAACAACTCCACATAATGTAAAGCACTGTGGTTTAACAAATCCCCATAATGTAAAGCACTGTGGTTTAACAACCCCCTATAATGTAAAGCACTGTGGTTTAACAACTTCCCATAATGTAAAGCCTTGTGGTTTAACAACCCCCATATAATTCAAAGCCCTGTGGTTTAACAACCCCCCATAATGTAAAGCGCTGGGGGTCAACAACCCCCCATAATGTAAAGCACTGTGATTCAACAACCCCCCATAATGTAAAGCGCTGTGGTTTAACAACCCCCCATAATGTAAAGCCCTGTGATTCCCTAACTCACCAAAAGCCATTGGTCCACACAACCTGAATGGAACTCATGGCTACAAGGCAAGTTCCTCAACTCCTCCCCCTCCTCGTACTCCGTCAAACAAATGTTGCATTGTGGGAGCTCCACTGCAGCTGATGCGGTTGTCTCATCAGGCATCTGGTGTGAGAACCTGGTTGTAGGCAGGCTGTTGATGTCCGTCTGGTTCAGGCCGCGGTTCACTTCACCTATGCGCTCAGCCAGGGCTAACAGAGACTGAAAGGTATAGGGCAAATATGACAAGAGCCAACACATAACACTGAGTGTTGAGAAAGTTCAGGGCCAACGGAGACTGAAAGGTATAGAGCAAGTGTGACAAGAGCCAACACATAACATGGAGTGTTGAGAAAGTGCAGAAAATATTTAAAAAATTGTTTAAATCAAATGTTTTCATCAGATGAAACTAGAAAGGAAAATTAGGTTAGCACATCTTGATAGTAAAGTGTTAACCTACGCCCCCATCATAACTAACAACATCATCATGTTGTATTACTGATACATCTCTCTTTCGGTAATGTCAATATTGTAAACTTCAATACTGGCATTTCAAAACAATACAATATTTATTTAATGTCCATAGAAGAAGCTCTAAGGCTGGAATTTGAACCCTCACTTCATGGGTGACAGTTCCCAGTCCATTCCTGATTGTTTACAAAAATATCTAGCTCAGCTTCACAAGATATTTTCCTGTACATCATCTATAAATAAACACTTTAAAAATGGTGTCTGGCATTCAAGAAACAAGGTGTCACAGGATCTTGTAGACTGTCCTGTAGTGCATCAGTGGTGCTCAAAGAACATGGAATCATCTACAGATATTTAAAACAGCATGAGCAGAAAATGACCAGTGGTCACCTACCTCATACTCTCCAAGATCTGGGTCTATGCCTGCTCCAGGTAGCATCAGGGCCTGAAACAAAGGATGACGTCATCAAAATCTGTGTACTCAGCCAGCCATCTTGTACTGTATAAAACCACCCACCCGTGTAGACCCCTATAAAACCACCCACCCCTGTAGACCCCTATATAAACACCCACCCCTGTAGACCCCTATAAAATCACCCACCCCTGTAGACCCCTATAAAACCACCCACCCGTGTAGACCCCTATAAAACCACCCACCCCTGTAGACCCCTATAAAACCACCCACCCCTGAGACCCCTGTAAAATCACCCACCCCTGTAGACCCCTATAAAACCACCCACCCGTGTAGACCCCTATAAAACCACCCACCCGTGTAGACCCCTATAAAACCACCCACCCCTGTAGACCCCTGTAAAAACACCCACCCCTGTAGACCCCTATAAAACCACCCACCCGTGTAGACCCCTATAAAATCACCCACCCCTGTAGACCCCTATAAAATCACCCACCCCTGTAGACCCCTATAAAACCACCCACCCGTGTAGACCCCTATAAAACCACCCACCCCTGTAGACCCCTATAAAACCACCCACCCCTGAGACCCCTGTAAAATCACCCACCCCTGTAGACCCCTATAAAACCACCCACCCGTGTAGACCCCTATAAAACCACCCACCCGTGTAGACCCCTATAAAACCACCCACCCCTGTAGACCCCTGTAAAAACATCCACCCCTGTAGACCCCTATAAAACCACCCACCCGTGTAGACCCCTATAAAATCACCCACCCCTGTAGACCCCTATAAAATCACCCACCCCTGTAGACCCCTATAAAACCACCCACCCCTGTAGACCCCTATATAAACACCCACCCCTGAAGACCCCTATAACACCCACCCCTGTAGACCCTTATAAAACCACCCACCCATGAGACCCCTATAAAAGCACCTACCCCTAAATCAAAGTCTGGCACCTCCAGTGAATGAAAAAGTTCAACCAGCAAAGCTAAGGAATAAAACAAAAACATGTTGGTGTTACTAGATCCAACTGGTTAAAGTAATGCATCATCCATCAAGAGCTATACATGTCTGTATACGGCTATGTAACTATTAAAAGGGTGATGGCTGATCCAGGTGAAGTAACTATGACTCACGTGTAAAGTCTCTGTGCTCCCTACTGAAGTAACTATGACTCACGTGTAAAGTCTCTATGCTCCCTACTGAAGTAACTATGACTCACGTGTAAAGTCTCTGTGCTCCCTACTGAAGTAACTATGACTCACGTGTAAAGTCTCTGTGCTCCCTACTGAGGTAACTATGACTCACGTGTAAAGTCTCTGTGCTCCCTACTGAAGTAACTATGACTCACGTGTAAAGTCTCGGTGCTCCCTACTGAAGTAACTATGACTCACGTGTAAAGTCTCAGTGCTCCCTACTGAAGTAACTATGACTCACGTGTAAAGTCTCTGTGCTCCCTACTGAAGTAACTATGACTCACGTGTAAAGCCTCTGTGCTCCCTACAGAGGTAACTATGACTCACGTGTAAAGTCTCTGTGCTCCCTACTGAAGTAACTATGACTCACGTGTAAAGTCTCTGTGCTCCCTACTGAGGTAACTATGACTCACGTGTAAAGTCTCTGTGCTCCCTACTGAGGTAACTATGACTCACGTGTAAAGTCTCTGTGCTCCCTACTGAAGACTTCAGCCAGACGGTCATATCTGGTTCGTGGGCGACCTCTCCCAGGCCCACGGCTTCCTTGACCCCCGCGGCGCTGAAATACATTTTATTCTTAATTGACCCTAAAAGTGGTAAAACAATGTCAGTTTTGTGATCACTCAAGATATGTGCAAGTCAGTTAGGTACCCATTAGAGCTCGGATTCGAACTCAAGACTTTTGGGTTAGCAGTCTAACACTCTGCTGCTAGGCCACGACATCCCACAAACAAAATCAGGTATGTCTTTACACTGAAGACACACACACAGCAACAATGGTAGAGGGAATTTCAAACATTTGTTTTAACAAAAAATTATGAATAAGAAATCTAAAAAGACCAGAAATAACCACACAAAAAAACACTAACATCAACTTAAAAGTCAGAAGACTAACAAAAAAAATGAACTGACCAGAACAGGTGGCTCTGGTGGGTGTGGTCTCCCAATGATGCCTGGCTCAGCCCGTCCAATAGGAGGTAGAGTTGACCTAGCCTGGGGTAAATAAATTTAAATCTCCAATAAACACCAGCAAGAAATCTACAGACTCAGGGAAACATGAACTGTTTTTAAATATCCCATGGGTAGCATGATGGGAAATAATCTTTGGTTTCAGCAACAGTGAATGTGGACGTCAAACAAAATGCTTTAAAGCAATTTTTTTCAACAGCTCACAAATAAATAGGAAACATCACTATCGGATGGAGTTTTCTTAAGAAAGTTCTTCATTTCTGTTCTTTTACAGCATTAAAAAACCATTCAGCATTAGGGAATGGCTGGGACAAAAACATTTTTCTAATTTCTGTTGATCAATATGATGGATGAATATACCACAGTAATGGCATTAGGGAATACAATAATTTCTGTTTATCAATATGATGGATGAATATACCACAGTAATGGCATTAGGGAATACAATAATTTCTGTTTATCAATATGATGGATGAATATACCACAGTAATGGCATTAGGGAATACAATAATTTCTGTTTATCAATATGATGGATGAATATACCACAGTAATGGCATTAGGGAATACAATAATTTCTGTTTATCAATATGATAGATGAATATACCACAGTAATGGCATTAGGGAATACAATAATTTCTGTTTATCAATATGATGGATGAATATACCACATTAATGGCATTAGGGAATACAATAATTAACAATCATGCTGTCAGGGTATTTGATAAATAAGTTGAACTAACCCGGCTGAAAAATCCCCCGCGGGCGCCATAGTGTACGTGATCTCTAGGTGTGTTCATAGACTCCCACTCTTCCTGCTGGAGCTGTCTTGCTATCTCCTCATCAGACAGCACGGTTATATCTGGTAACATTAACATATCAGACAGCACGGTTATATCTGGTAACATATTAGTCAGACAGCAGTTATATCTGTAAACATTAGGTAACATGAGGGACAGTACAGGGGGAGGGGGGAATTTTTATACCAGTGTCCGATAATAGAATGTTCTTTAAAAAGGGGTAGTTAACTGAAATACACACATGGCTGGCTAATGTCAATGTTAACCCTATCCCTAACCCAAACCCTGGTCCTACCAAACGCCTAACTCCTAATTTCTTACCATAAAATTGGTCGATTACAATACTACTAACAATCCAAAACACCTATTTTTGGGAGAGTCTATTATCAGACATCAGTATCTAAAATCATCCGAGCACAGCTGTTTATCTGTAAACATCAGACAGCACAAAACAGTATGCCACTAACATTTTTGTGTGTCACATGGGGGCATATTGAAGTGGAGGTACCACCAGATCACCATAGCCTTTACACATGGGGGCATATTGAAGTGGTGGTACCACCAGATCACCAAAACTTTTACACATGGGGGCATATTGGAGTGGTGGTACCACCAGATCACCAAAACTTTTACACATGGGGGCATATTGAAGTGGAGGTACCACCAGATCACCATAGCCTTTACACATGGGGGCATATTGAAGTGGTGGTACCACCAGATCACCAAAACTTTTACACATGGGGGCATATTGGAGTGGTGGTACCACCAGATCACCAAAACTTTTACTGAGACATAAATCCCTATACTTAAACATAAACTCTAGATTTAAACCTTACATCTGAAGCTAACTCAAGTTGTAATCTTAAAACTACAACTCTTGCTAGTCCAAATGCTAGAACTTGAACACACAAGGTAGAACAATAACCAGTTTCACATACAGATGGCAAAGTTAGCAATATTTTAAACATGCAAGAATTTTATTTCCCTAGGAATTTTTTGTCTGACTAGTTACCCCAACATTAGCGCCACGCTGCAAACAGTCTCAAACAGATCTACCAACAACATAAATAATATAAAAATTATTTGAAATTTTAAAAAAATAACATAAAACGCCACAAATCTCACAAAAAAAAAGTTAAATGGTTAAAAAATTCAGCCGACAGTGCCACAAGTTAGACCAAAGAAAAAGTTTGAGCGTAAAATCATTTGTTGGGACAATACCATGATGTCTGCCACAGCATCGCCTGAACGTGCAACAGCAGCACTGATGGTGACAATGTCTACAGCGACTCATAGTATGACCAACACAAACAAAGTGATGCAACACACACACACAGTGCTGTGTTGTTGGTTGGGGTAAGCTCACATCTGTTGTTTACATTTTTTGTGAACTCTGAACTTTGTTCAAGGGGTGGTAACCCTGGTGATTTAAGACAACTTCTGAAGTCCTGCAGCACTCCACTCATGTAACAACTACAAATGTTAAAATTGTGTTAACTATGTTAACAGGCTAGACTTTGGTGTGCCATCACTCCCATCCCCCCCCATCTACAACTTAAAAAAAACTACACAGTACTAGGCCACTTTAGTTATAAGTAATGTATCAACCCAAGTAGCCAAAAGTGGTTATAAAACATAAGAAATATTAAAGAAAATACATTTAAAAATTACTGCTTAAAAAATTAACTGTTCATTAATAATAATTACATTAGCAATGAGGAGAAAGATTAGTTTATCGACTTGGTGTTAAAACATGCACTGTCAAATTCTTACAGAAACCTGTCAGGCCTGTAAAGAATGAACTACAGATCTTTAGAGGGCACTGCCCTTCTCACTCCCCTACCCCAAAAGATGTTTGGTACTTAACAAACCTGAGCAGACTCATGGGCAGCCGCAATGCCAGGGCCCCTTTGAGACTGCTGAGTCAGCAATTCTCTACCACAACCATTAGCTTTGCTGTTAATTTATAACAATTAATTTTAGTAACAACAAAAAAATTCAAATAATCACCTGGTCTATAGAATTCAAATGGCTCCTCTACTGTTCCCAGCCCTCGCAGAAATTGACCTGGAGAAAAATTTGCCAGAGGCGACCAACCTGAATTCTGAGCAGCTGAACTGAAAGGGTCAAATTCAGGAGTAAATATGCTGTTAGGGCTCTGAAAAGGATCCGAAGAATCAATTTCAGGAAGCAAATGTTGAGGGCTCTCTGGAACAAACACAGGAGGGTTCTGGAAGTCAGCAGTTTGGGATGTCATGTGTGAGGTGGGGGCTGGTCTAGTGGAAGAGTTTTTGCTGGCCTGCCCAAATGATCTAGAACCTGCTGGTAAGTGGCTGGAGTTAAACGCTGACGACGCGTTGCCAACTTGCGGCCTTCGTGCCCATCTTCTGGGTGGGGATTGGCCGTTGTTTGTCCGATGTCTGTTAGGTGGGCGTGTGCCATCTTGTAGTCTACCAACATCATTAAACCCAAGTGTTTGATTGTTGTGGAATCCAACATTAGAAGGGCCATCTTGTTGTCTACCAAGGTCATTGAACCCAAATGTTTGACTGTTGTCTGCCCTTTGGAAGCCATTATTAGAAGGTCCATCTTGTTGTCCACCAAGGTCATTGAACCCAAATGTTTGACTGTTATCTGTCCTATAGAATCCAACATTAGAAGGGCCATCTTGTAGCCCACCAATATCATTGAGGCCAGCTGGAATACCTTGAGCTGGTCTAAACCAGTTAGTTTGATCAACAGGCCCACCGTTTTGTTGCGTCTGAGTAGATGCCTCATTTGATTCTGATGGCGTGAACAAAGACGGCCCCTGATTAAACTGCATGGCCATTTCTTGGCTTGCAGGTCCATTACTTGTCCTGCTCACATGGTTGGAGGACATGCGTGGATATCTTCCCCTGTGCTCTGTGCGGCCATTTTGGGCAGGAGGACGCTGACCATAATTTTTTGGTCTAACTGGAGACCTCGCGTTAGGCTTTCTTTTTGGTTCGTCTTTTTTTTCTTCATCCATGTCAGATCAGTTTTGTTAGTCCCTGTTGATTAAAAAATAAATTCAATAAACATCAACAAAACTGTAACAATTTATTTTACAGTATGTCAACTCAGTTTTGTTAGTCCCTGTTGATTAAAAAATAAATTCAACATACATCAACAAAACTGTAACAATGTATTTTACAGCATGTCAACTCAGTTTTGTTAGTCCCTGTTGGTTAAAAAATAAATTCAATACACATCAACAAAACTGTAACAATTTATTTTACAGCATGTCAACTCAGTTTTGTTAGACCCTGTTGATTAAAAAATAAATTCAATATACATCAACAAAACTATAACAATTTATTTTACAGCATGTCAATTCAGTTCTGTTAGTCCCTGTGGATTAAAAAGTTAATTCAGAGCACAACAACAAAACTGTAACAATTTATTTTACAGTATGTCAACTCAGTTCTGTCAGTCCCTGTTGATTAAAAAGTAAATTCAGAGCACATCAACAAAACTGTAACAATTTATTTTACAGTATGTAAACTCAGTTCTGTTAGTCACTGTTGAATAAAAAATAAAAAATAGTGTGCTGAGTCAGTGAGGCAAACAGCAGGATTTACATAGTAGCTGTTGTCATGCAGAATATAGGTGAGTGGTAGGAGGGGTGAGTCATTAACATTAGTTAACAGTCAAGTGTTTGAAGGGTCATCTTGTTTGCAGAGCTTTGTGGCTTTAAGTTATAGGAGCAGATTTAACCACAGTTGTATACACTTTACAGAAAAGTTTATTTCATGGAAGGTAGATTTGAGCAGATTTAACCACAGTTCTATACACTTGTACAGAAGCGTTTATTTCAAGGAAGGTAGATTTGAGCAGATTTAACCAGTTCTATACACTTGTACAGAAGCGTTTATTTCAAGGAAGGTAGATTTGAGCAGATTTAAGCACAGTTCTATACACTTTACAGAAAAGTTGACTTCATGGAAGGTAGATTTGAGTGGAGGTTGAACCTAAACAGTAAATAGTTTACTACGGGAGAATTTTTATACCAGTGTCCAATAATGTTATCTTCTTTAAAAAAGGGGTGTTAGGTTACTAGTAGTTAACTAAATACACACATGGCTGGCTAATGTCAATGCTAACCCTGTCCCTATCCCTAACCCTGGTCCAACCATACACCTGGCCCTAATTTCTAACCATAAAATTAGTCAAAATTACAATACTACCAACAACCCATCACCCCTTTTTTAAAGAACATTCCATTATTGGACACTAGTATCTACAATCATCCGATTCGGGATCTAGAACTATTCTAGTAAAAAGGATCACTAATATTAATTTGAATTTATTAGTGATAGGGTTAACATGGACATTAAGATTGTGGCATATTCTGACACTTGATGTTGAAGGAATAGCCGAATATTAATAGCGCTACAATTTATGATCCGGCTTTTCTTTTCTAAATGTTCATTGTTAATAAACCCTTTAGTAGTCACTTTGTAATTTTAATAGCGGCAGAGGTCAGGAGCTTCTTCCGAGTATGTCACTCTGAAATTATAGTAGTTAGTCTAGCAAGTAGCTACATTTATTATCGAATCTAGATTTCTTAAAAGTTAAAAGGAATAAAATAAACAGTAGTTAGCTTATTCAGTAAAATTCTGGATCTAGAATCTAGATTGCTAGTAGTAGAACTACTAGATCTAGATCTAGATTCTAACTAGAGCTAAAGATATTAATTAATTTAATCGAAGTGACTACGTAGTTCGCTCAGCGTGATGGGTAAGTCAGACAATGCGTATCACGCAATCTAAAAATAAAACACTTAAACTAAGTTAAACATTGAATTGCTGAGACAAAAAAAAACAACAGGCAGTCCTGATATCTATTTTTAGATTGCGTGTCCCCCAAGGGTAAAGCTTAAGCGTATCGCGGAGCGAACTGCGCAAATCCAAGATTTAGCGTCATGCTCAGCGAATCGCGCAAATGTGGCCTAATTTAATAGTAGGCCCTATCCTAATATACTAGATTATCTGAGAATTCTGATTTGTCTTTGTACAACAAGATCTGTAATCTAGCTAGATCTAGATCATAGACTTAAGTCATAGAGTTGATAGAGAATATATTATTTATATAGATTTAGATCTATGATGATAGAGAGACTAAAGTGACTAAAGCCAAAAGTCACCAAAGAACAAAAGGAAATCCTTTTAACTTTAACTTTTTAAAAGAAGGCTGCCTAATCTTAGTAATCTAGATATTTATAGTAGTTACTAGACTAGATCTAGATACTAGTTAGTTAGTTACTTAATTAATTAGATTATGCCTAGATTAGATCTAGTAAAAAGTAGTTAGTAGTTAGACTAGTATTAGGTACTACTACTACTACTACTTACTACTAACTACTAGAATTACTAGATCTAGATCAAGTAATCACTAGAGTAGATCAGATCTAGAGATCTCTAGATCACTAGATCAGACTAGATCTAGATTTCTAGATCTATCACATCTAAGTCTAAGCAAAGAAAAGGACAAGTCACAAGTGGCATTTAATTTATTCATTCATCATTGCATTAAAAAAATTTGGCTTACTCTACTCTAGCAAGACAATAAATAACTTTAAAAAAAAAATAGTCTAGATCTAGGCCAGGCCAGGCCTACTCTGAATTTACTTCACTACACACACGACACACACAGTTAGTTAAGTACTGAGTACACTCAGGGGCGTAGCGAGGGGGGGGGCGGGGGGTGCGGACCGCACCGGGTGACACCATTTAGGGGGGTGACACCAAGGCAAAAAATAGCAAAATATATAGAGAAAAACTCGAGGGGGGGGTGCAAATCGAAAACTTGAGGGGTGGGGTGCAAATCGAAAATTTGAAAGTTTGTCCCTGGGAAGGGTCTCTATGCCTCTGGGGGGGTGACACCATTAAGTGCCGCACCGGGTGACACCCGACCTCGCTACGCCACTGAGTACACTACAGTAGACTACACACTCAGTCACACTGATTGCTGGTCTGAGGATAGGAATAGGACGTGTTACTGTGTGTGTTGTTAATCTCTACAACCAGTCAAGATCTTAGATCTAATCTAGATTAGATTCTAGAACTAGACTAGATAGATTTAGATACTAGATAGATCTATAGTCTATAGATTATCTAGAATACTAGATCTAGGCTAACATACTTTACTAGTCTAACAGTAACAGATGACTAGTCATAAAATAAAAAATTCCGCAGGTTTGTTTTGTTTAATCGTTGTTACGCAATTTTATATTTCTATAAACTTAGGAAAGAAACGAAACAAAGTTTCTATTTTTTAAGGCACTATTCTAGACTAGATCTAGATCAGAACTAGGCCCTATAATTTTTAGACGTGGTAAGGCCTATAAAATATCTTCTAGATCTAGACTAAAAATAAGTAGATTCTACTACTTAGTATTTAGTATAGTAATGGATAATAAAATCTAGATCTAGATCTAGATCTCTTTCAACTTTTAACTATCGGACTATCAGCAAGTATAAATTACTTTCCTCCCCTTTTTGACTTTTTGTTGTCTCCCCTTTCAGGCCTTTCATGTCTAATAATTGAAATCAATTATTTAAAATAAATAGTGATATTAAAATAATAAATAAAATTCAAGAAAGTTGATTTTGACTAAAAATCATTAGGCATTAGGGCTACCTGATCTATTTTATTTTTAAATATTATATTTAGGCCTAAATCTTTTTATTAATCTATTAATTATAGATGGTGTGGGATGATTTGTATAAAGTATATAAAATTATAAACCCTTTGAATCTCTAGCAGAACAAAACCCAGGTGGGCTTCAACCAACTGTTGGGCTTGTTGCATCAGATAATACTCAAAACAATAATAGAAACAATTTTTTCTAAAGTTTTAATTCATGCTGTAGGCTAAAATCATAAAATATCACTAAAATTAAGTAATTATTACTATAAAAAAGATTTGCTATTCTAATTTTAAAAAGGTACATTAGTTAGTAGTTTATCCTTCGTTTATTAAAAAAAAAAGATCCTAAATAGTTTATTGAACCAACTACTTTTCTCATCTTTTTTCCTCAAGGGTCGGAGAGAAGAAAACTGTAAACAAAATGGCGTTCTTTGAGTTTGATTTCTGAAGTTACCAGCAAGGTGATGGCCTTCAACAAATATGCTATTCAACATTGGCAGGATGCTTGCTGTCTTTTGGATAGACAGAACTACAGAGAAGCTTCTAGAAAGCTGCTAGAAATAGAGAAGCCTTCTGCAAAAATTCTCTTCAATCTTGGTTGTATTTGTATGCTAGAGGGCTCATACAGTGAGGCTATAGAGGTAAGTTGTCCATTTGTATGTTGTAGTATTTATACAATGATACCATAGAGGTAAGGTGTCCATTTATATGTTGTAGTATTTATACAATGATACCCTAGAGGTAAGTTGTCCATTTGTATGTTGTAGTATTTATACAATGATACCATAGAGGTAAGTTGTCCATTTGTATGTTGTAGTATTGATACAATGATACCCTAGAGGTAAGTTGTCCATTTGTATGTTGTAGTATTTATACAATGATACCATAGAGGTAAGTTGTCCATTTGTATGTTGTAGTATTTATACAATGATACCCTAGAGGTAAGTTGTCCATTTGTATGTTGTAGTATTTATACAATGATACCATAGAGGTAAGTTGTCCATTTGTATGTTGTAGTATTTATACAATGATACCATAGAGGTAAGTTGTCCATTTGTATGTTGTAGTATTTATACAATGATACCATAGAGGTAAGTTGTCCATTTGTATGTTGTAGTATTTATACAATGATACCATAAAGGTAAGTTGTCCATTTGTATGTTGTAGTATGTATACAATGAGACCATAGAGGTAAGTTGTCCATTTGTATGTTGTAGTATTTATACAATGATACCATAGAGGTAAGTTGTCCATTTGTATGTTGTAGTATTTATACAATGATACCATAGAGGTAAGTTGTCCATTTGTATGTTGTAGTATGTATACAATGAGACCATAGAGGTAAGTTGTCCATTTGTATGTTGTAGTATTTATACAATGATACCATAGAGGTAAGTTGTTCATTTGTATGTTGTAGTATTTATACAATGATACCATAGAGGTAAGTTGTCCATTTATATGTTGTAGTATTTATACAATGAGACCATAGAGGTAAGTTGTCCATTTGTATGTTGTAGTATTTATACAATGAGACCATAGAGGTAAGTTGTTCATTTGTATGTTGTAGTATTTATACAATGAGACCATTATTCTGATTGTTCCTTTGGACTTTTGTGGGGCATTAACAGATGGGGTGGGGTTATTGGATAGTGGGTGAATGTTCCAATCAAATGCCTGTTGCCCGTTGCTAGAGTTGTGTCCAGTCCATTCCTTTTTCAGTTTGTTTACATCTTGCCTGACTGGGTTTTTGCCAGTTTGGCTGGTTTATTTATTCCACACATTCTTTGTGTTGATGACTATCTGAGCATGCGAATGTTACTTTTCTCTTGCAGTATTTCACAAAGAGCATCAACCAAGACAGGTACCTGGCCATCTCTTACTTTCAAAGAGGTGTCTGCCATCACCATTTGGGCAGGTCAGTTCACTTGTATGTCTACTTAGAAATAAAGAAATACATTGCTCTTGAAATAAAGCCATTTTAGATTAAGCTTGGGGGGGGGGGGGGGGGGAGGAGGGGGGGGGGGAGGGGGGGGAGGGTAGGTGTCTGGGCTGAATATTCTTCAGGGTCTCTGTGAAAATGAAAAGCATAATTTTTTTTTCCACCTCCTGACCTCATTATTTCCGGGACCCAATATTTTTTACACAGCCCTCACCTATTTAAACAATTATAGCCCCTATGTTTTTCTAACCAGATTTATGTATTATACATCGAAATGAACAGAAATGAAATTTCTATAGTAGTAAATGAAGATAATTGTGAGTTATGTTAAAGAATGTAGGTTTTTTACATGTTAAATGACTTGTTAAAGAAACAAACACAAGCTGTGTCGAGCCGTACCTTGCGGCTCGTGGGCCTACGGTGAAGCTGGCCCAAGCCGCATCTCGCGGCTCATGGGACGGATTGAGTTATTTAAAAGACATTTTGAGGATCTCTGGCCATGGGTTGGTCAGCCTGCCACTTAACTAGCCACTGTTAACAGAATGTAACAACTTTTTGCATCAAGTTGTACTTTCAAATGCTTACATTACCTCCACACAAACCTTACATTTGGTTCTCAGTATGTTGAAACTAAACCAGGTTTGTTATCAAACTGCAAGTGCAAGTAAAATTTGTTCATTAGTTTTCCCAACCAAAGATTTAATCATTTGATTTCTATTCTTATCAAAATGTTGTTTTTAATTGCCTTAACAAATGCTATTAAAATTTATTTTATTTAGGATTTGTAAAATTAATGAATTGTAAAATATCTAATAAGTAAATTTATTGATTTATTTTGGACTCTGTTTTCCAGATATGACTGTGCAAAAGATGACTTGACATCAGTCATGTTGAGTTACTCCACAGAGGGGGAGACGTGTGACAGCATCAACTACCAGCAGCTGGGGGCGGCCATTGCTTTATCACGGCACACAGTGAGTCCTAGTTTCATTCATGTTTTTTTTACACTGATAGTAAGTTATATACCCTTTTCAAACCTGGAGGTGTATGGGGCAAGTAGAGTCCACCTGTTTCAGTGACCTTTGCATATGGTATGTGGTCAGCATTATGCTAAAAAATCCATAAACAGTTTTATGTGAGTTGTCTCCCCTGGCAACACACAAGACCTGTATGAAAAGTTCCTTGAACAAAACCATATTTCCTGTTACAGGTGGAAGATTGCCTGGCTGTGACTGAACAGTGCTACACACTTAAGGTAATCTTGTACCTTGTTTCACCATGTTGCTTAATATCTTATATTAGTTATATTATACTGTATTTTATTAACACGCTAACATGTCTAGGAATTGGTTTTATTATACTATTATTTATCAGCTTATTTTTATATAGATAACTTTCCACATGTATGGATAAACTTTAACGCTTGATGCATGAATAAGCTTTAACGCTTGTAAATGAGTAACGTTTTTCTGTATGTCATTGACATCTGAAATAAATTTGGTAATAGATACCATTTTATTATATATTGCTACTATTCGAGTTTTATTTACTAACAAATATGTATCTTAACTTTGGTTTCTAGAGAGCTCTACATCTTCCTAGTGTGCCAGTTGTTGACTGTGTCTTCAGACCTGCCAAAAAGCTGGTCGCTAATTTAGGAAAACAAGACTACCTGGGGAGTGCCCAGGTAAAAACAGTTGGCGTGTGAAATAATGAAACATGTGTATGTGATGTGAACATTTGGGTCTGTTTAGTTTCTAACCAACATATTCTTGTACATTACTATTTGTATTACACACTCAAAAATCTAAACCGAACTCTAACACAAACATTTCAATACTGACATAGCATATTTTAATAAGATAAGAACCCAAAGTATGCCAGCTGTTCACTAAAGACGATTTGATGTATTTGCAGGTGATTTCTTCTGTTGAAAATGAGGTTGTGATGGAGCATAGAGAGATAGCCAATGTGAGTACAGTTTCTTTAATAGGGTAACAATAATTGTCATCTGCCGGATATTTTTAATTTTTTTTTAAATAAATCTTTAAACACAACATAGGAATATTACTTTTTGTTCTTTAATAGATTAACAATAGTTGTCATCTGCTGGGGTTTTAAATTATTAAAAAAAAAAAATCTTTAAACACCACCTGGGGAAATTACTTTTTAATTTTCAGAACAGTTGATCCTCACAAACATTTATTTCAGCGATCTCTCTGGAAGGGGGGTTGGGTTGCAGGCATAATAGGAAAAATGTATTTAAAGAATTTATACCTTAAAAAGTATCCTACCCCGCCCCTGTTCAAGAAAATTGTCTGAAAGAAACCCTGTTTAAAACTGCTAGTAAAACTAAACAAATAATCTCTAGGCTAAACTCAAGTCACCTCAGACAGCCAGATGTGATTTGGTCGGACAAGGAAAAGACTTGGACCTCCCTGCCACACCCAATCGTCCCCCTCCACGGTTACCTGCTAAAGCCTCTCTGTGTCCAACAGGCAATGACGGATCCACTCCTGACCACACCTGTGGTCCAGTCTTACCTGCAGGACCAGGTAGGCTTGGGCTGACAGTTACAGCCCACAAGCCCATTCTGTCACATGTCACAGCTTTACCAAAGTCTAGAGACCAGAGTCCATCTTGTGTCCAGGCACCAAATTCTAGATCCCAAAGTCCATCTTATTTACATGTCCAGGCACCAAATTCCAGATCCCAGAGTCCATCTTGTGTCCAGGCACCAAATTCCAGGTCGCAAAGTCCATCAAATTTACATATCCAGGCACAAGGTTTCAGGTCCCAGAGTCCATCTTGTCCAAAGGTCCCAACTCAGAAAACAGAAACTCCCACTTTAAACACAAGTGACCTTTCATCTTTGACCAGTGACAGAGGTCAGCCTAATGTTCAAGGGGTCACTTCCCCACTCAAAACAAATATTCCCCCTCCCTCCCGTCCCCCACCCAGATTAAAGAAATAACCCAATGTTTCTTCTGATCATACAACGGGCTATAATGGTACATTTATCTTATAATTCCATCTAGAGAACCACATTTATCCACTATCTATACAAGTTTTAAGTAGCCCTGGATCCTTCTCCTTTGTCTTTCATGGTTTCTTCTGGTGTTTTCATATAGCAACCCACATTGCTTTCATCATCTCTAGTTGTGTTTTCTTCAAGTCTTTCTTGTACCACCATTTGTGTTTTTATTAAATGTTTTGTAAAATGTCAAATAAGAAAGATATATTTACATGCTTTAAAATATGCACTATATATTAAAAATATAATGTGACGTTATATAGAAATATATAGATTACTAATTAGTACTTCATGAATCAATCTTTAATTGATTTGTAATAAATGAATTCAACATCTAATTGGGTGAAAGATCATGTTACCTTGCACTATAATCAGAGTGGGACCTGTGTTAAGTATAAATTATATCTATGAGGTGGGTGACCTGTGTTAAGTTTAAATTATATCTATGAGGTGGGTGACATTTTGATTTCAAGCTTTCACCCGTGACTAATAAGATTTCAAAAGCTTGTAAAAAAAAAGAATTGTTGTAATAGAATAAAAAAAATAACCATATTTTCTTGATGAAATGTCTAGATGTGTTAGAAATTTTTTTAATGTGTGGGCAACAATAATTTTATGACTGTTGGTTGGTTCAACAAGCTAATTATGTGTAACGATGCTTTTAAATTTCCCTTTTTACTTTATGTACAGTATTTTAAATGTATTTCCAGTTTCCAGTATTATCTATATACATTTCAAACCACTATCTCCCACAAACAATACATGTATTATGTTGTTATAACCAGCTAATATGGATATACAATAGATGTTATTGTTGTGTGCAACTCACCAAAGGCTTAAAACTTGTGTTGACTTCGTGATACAAGTGATTTTGTTTATTATGTGATATATTTACTTTTTGTATATATTTTGTATATATTTATATATACTATTTGGGTTGCACCATTATATGGTTTATGTATATCTGTTTAAAAAATAAAATTATTTTGAAATTTAAATTATTTAGTTGCTTAATCTGGTTTACAGTATACATATTGTTTTTGGGTTGTAACCACTCCCTCCCCCCCTCCCTCCCTCCCCCTCTCCTAGGGAACCTGAATATTGACAATAAATCTGGGCTTTATAGAGAAGGGCGCTAATGTTGAAGCCTATATAGTTGTAGCAAGTAATGTAGCACTTACTGTTATATGCAGTGGCGTAGCGAGGTCGGTTGTCACCCGGTGCGGCACTTAATGGTGTCACCCCCCAGATGCGTAGCGACCCTTCCCGGGGACAAACTTTCACCCCCCCCCCCCCCTCAAACTTTCGATTTGCCCTCAAACATTCGATTTGCACCCCCCTCAAGTTTTCGATTTGCACCCCCACTCAAGTTTTTCTCTATATTTTGCTATTTTTTGCCTTGGTGTCACTTCCCTAAATGGTGTCACCCGGTGCGGTCCGCCCCCCCCCCCCTCGCTACGCCCCTGGTTATATGTGTTGTAGCAATAATTTTAGCAAATGTTTTGTATGTATTGTAGCATATATTGTAATATGTTATATCATGTGCTGCAGCATATATTATATGTTGTACAGTATCACATTGTAATCTGGGTTGTAGCATACATTACAGACCCAGATGTAACATATAAACATAAACGTACTAAAACAGCTGAAGCAGAAACCTTCATATTTTCCCAAACTTTGGCTTCAGGCTGTAACAAAATCTGGCCAATTGAAGCCTACATCCTCTCAATAAAGACCGTACATTCAAGCATTGATTTGTGTAGTGGATCAGCTGATAGCTACATCGGGGAGCTTTGATACACCGGATTGTTTTATGGCCAGCTAATGATTGTCTTAATGTTCAGTTTAGTTCTATGTCGCTGGATCAGTAGCTTTAATGTTAGCCTGAAGTTTTTGAGGAGACCTTTGAAAAAAATAAATTATATCTAGCAGGCGCAAACGGCCCGCAAATTGTAAGTGTTGTTTAGATGTGTGAACTACGGGTGATGATGTTGTCTAGATGTCTTGAGGTAATTTTAGTTTTTTTTTCTCTTTTTGAATATGTAAATGCATATTTTTTGTTTGCTTTAGAGCAGTGTTTCTTTCAGACTTTTTTTCTCCGGGTGAGGCGAAAACTTGTAAAAGTACATATTCTCTATATAAATTTCATTTAATTCGAGAGGGGGGCAGTAGACGTGCTAGGGGAGGGGGTTGCACCGTCAAGAGATGTCTGAAAGAAACTGCTAAAGAGAAATGTTTAAAAAAACTTTGTACTCGTTAAAGTTTTTTAAGCAATATTTTGCTATACGAAAAGTTGGTTGAATAAGTTGATAGTAGTTAGGCATTGTGTCATATGAATCTCTTTAACTCCATAGCCTCTACACCAGAGGGGTAGCGGGGGGGGGGGGGGGGGGCGGGGGGGGGGGGGGACATATGTCCCCGGGCGCCGACCTTAGGGGGGGGCGCCAAATTGAAAGTTTGAGGGGGGTGCAAATGAAAAGTTCGAGGCGGGGGGGGGGGGGTGCAAATCGAAAATTTGCTCCCGAAGGGGGCGAAAATTGAAAGTATGTCCCCGGGCGCCGGGAAGGGTCGCTACGCCTCTGCTCTACACTTAATAATTTCTGATGAATAAATAACACTTTATTTCCTCTCAAACAACACGGTTCCCATTACTTTTTACTTTCACGTGTAAAAAAAAAGTATCGTAATCGCGCAAAAAATCGAGATAGTCTCTGTGGTTGAGTCCGGTATCGTGTTAGAGTCAAGTCCGCCAGTGAAGCCACTGTTGACCAAATCTAATAGTTTGTTCAACTCAACCATTCATCAGTGTATTAAATACTTCTCGATAGTACTGCTAGGAATATTTTGTTTCAAATCATCACACAACACACCGCGGCAGTCGATCTATTATAAGAAACAGTTTTTGCAATACACAGGCTACACAGGAAGAAAAGGCTTGAAAAGCTGGTTCCAAATGGTTGTTGCCAGAAACCACATTTTTCAACCAAAATTGAATATTTTATAACATTTGTGAAATGCATACAAAAATCACACTATTTTCGTGGTTCCATGAGCTCTACTCACACCGAAGTCCGTTGCTACTCAATCCATAATCGTGTCTAGCAGATTAGCTTCGTTGGGATTATGTTGTTGTCAGGTTGATAGTCAGCCCTAAAGCTGTGACCCTATATATAGATAAACTTGGTGACTGTATCAATATACCCCTGTTTTTATAAGGTCTTATGCCGTCACCTACCAATATACCCCTGTTTTTATAAGGTCTTCTGCCGATCACCTACCAATATATCCCTGTTTTTATAAGGTCTTCTGCCGATCACCTATCAATATATCCCTGTTTTTATAAGGTCTTCTGCCGATCACCTACCAATATACCCCTGTTTTTATAAGGTCTTCTGCCGATCACCTACCAATATACCCCTGTTTTTATAAGGTCTTCTGCCGATCACCTACCAATATACCCCTGTTTTTATAAGGTCTTCTGCCGATCACCTACCAATATACCCCTGTTTTTATAAGGTCTTCTGCCGATCATCTATCAATATACCCCTGTTTTTATAAGGTCTTCTGCCGATCACCTACCAATATACCCCTGTTTTTATAAGGTCTTCTGCCGATCACCTACCAATATACCCCTGTTTTTATAAGGTCTTCTGCCGATCACCACTCCCAGAAATTGGCATCGTCTGCTCCTGCGTGGGTTCCGCAGTGCTGTTGGTCCTCACGTTTCTGTACGGCGACAACGCGGACAGGCCCGCAGAGTTTGAGTACCACGTGGAGAGCGCCATGTTGCCGATAGCACAACAGAGGGCGCTGCCCACGCTGCCTGGTGAGTGACGTAATGTGGGTCAGTCGTTATAGTTAGTTCTGATAATAATTTTAAAAAAAATGGATGACGTCCAGATGACTGGGCACTTGCGGTGTTTTGAAAGAATGGTGACGTCATGCAGTGGCGTAGCGAGGTCGGGTGTCGCCCGGTGCGGTACTTGATGGTGTCACTCCCCCAGAGGCGACCCTTCCCGGGGACAAACTTTTCAAATTTTTGATTTGCACCCCCCCTAAAATTTTCGATTTGCACCCCCCTTCAAGTTTTTCTTTATATATTGCTATTTTTTGCCTTGGTGTCAACCCCCTAAATTGTGTCACCCGGTGCGGTCCGCACCCCCCGCCACCCCCCCCCCCTCGCTACGCCTCTGACGTCATGGCTTCTAGGGACGTTCTGGTGTAAAAGACCGCTCCCACAAAGAAATAGATCGCATCAGCTGGCGTCTGGAAAATGATAATTACATTCATATAACGTTTGAAATTCTGAAACACGTCTAAGGATATGTTAATTGTGTATGAATGGAGCGTTATTTCAAAAACTTTTAGAACAATTCCGTGTAGGCAGTATTTCCAGTTTGTAAATTCTGAAAGAGTAATTTTTCACTACGTTATGTTTGGGCATCCGTTCAAACTTCAATTTTTAAAAATATAGGACCATGTTTTTTTACGGAATAATTCTTTAAACTTTATTTAAAATTTTGTTTCTATCCCAAGCCCGCCACCAAAAACTGATCGTCCTGCAGTGGTTCCCCTTTGGCTACAGCCTACTACAGGGAACATCGTTCTTCGGTTCCTGCGGCACGGCCAGGTGCGAGCTCAGCACCAACGGTTCCCGGGTGTCGGAGGCCGACGCCGTGGTCTTCCACGCCAACGGTTCGCGCCGTCTGACCGAGGACCAGACGACCCACCAGAAACCCCGCGGCCAGCTCTGGGTTTTCTACGCCGACGCCAGTCCCGCTTACTGCGACGGTCATCTGTTTGCTCGCCGATCGTGGCTGGATAAATTTGACCTGACGTTGACCTACAGACGCGACTCTGACCTATTTCATGGTTTTGTGCATGCGGCAAAGAAAAACACGAACGCCACGGAGATTCAAACGGATATTTTTAGAAACGAGATGAGACAACTCTACGGAAAGAAAACCAAAATGGTCGCCTGGTTTGCAAACCGGTGCGTTTCTCAAAGCAAAAGAGAAATTTACGTCAGGAAATTGCAGAAACACATTCCTGTGGATATTTACGGGCGGTGTGGGATCAAATGTGATTATGGCTCCAAATGTTATCAAAATCTGTCCAAAGACTACATGTTTTACTTGGCTTTTGAAAATTCTCTGTGCCAGGACTACGTCACAGAGAAAGTTATCACGGCCTTTCGTATGGGGGGTGTCATACCAGTGGTTCGTTCAGGCGCGGACCGGTTTCTTCTCCCGCCAAATTCAGTCATTGATGCGCGGGATTTCTCGTCTGCTAAACAGCTGTCAGAGTATCTGAAGTTTGTGGCGGGAAATGAGGTATAAAAATATATTGACTACCAGTCGTTAATTAAGTAACGTGTTTCTCGTAAAATAAATTATTTGCATTGATTAGCTGTCATGACATCCGGATGTAGAGGATGTGTATAGTAATAATTCTCTAGCAGAGGCGTAGCGAGGGGGGGGACATATGTCCCGGGGCGCCGACCTTAGGGGGCGCCAAAATGGGTTGGAAAAATAAATTGAAAGCTTGAGGGGGGTGCAAATCGAAAGTTTGAGGGGAGGGGGGTGCAAATCGAAATCTTGAGGAAGGAGGGGGGGGGGGTGCAAATCGAAAGTTTGTCCCCGGGCGCCGGGAAGGGCCGCTACGCCTCTGTAATCTCTAGGCTTTACGGATGTATTGAATATTAGGGCTTAAGGCAAGGTTGGTGAATGAAGTATCGAGATCGGCAAAACCGACTGAAAGAGTATCGAATTGTCGATTATAGTCACGTCCTCTATTACATTGTTGTTATTATTTTACAAATTAATTTCTACACCCCCCCCCCAATTAATTTCTACAACCCCCCAACCTCAATCTATCTCCTTATCAATGTTCACATTCGATTTCATATTTTTATATTACCATTTATCTATAAATTTCCTTTTATTTTTCACTTTTATATTTTACTTCATCTTCTTCGTTCTTGTAATGTTGGACGGGATTTCCCCCAACATAATTAAGTATTAGATCTACGTATCAGCATGTTATACGCCGTATGGCCTGTGGACTCAGATTTCAGCCTGCTTTGCTTTAATTTGCTTCAATAGCTTTTATCCAAACATGAACAAACTACAAGACAGAGGTTGTTTGATTTTAGAGTTTTCTCTCCCAGATTCTAGATGGGTTGCTGCCCCCAGCTATAGAGCCTCATCTGCCCGTGGGTTCGGACTAGAGACTTAACGGTCTAGCAACCTTGAGCTCTACTCACTGGCCCAGCCACGCTGATCCTCTTCAGATTATCATTTACTTTCCCGCTTTGATTCCCCACTTAACTTATTTTTAGTTTCATTTATTGATTTGCATTTTTTGTCACTTCTTCTTTATTTCACAAGATTTTTTGTGTATTTAGTTCATATTATTTTTATTTTATCTATTTCTTTTATCCATATCGTTTATCCAGTTAAAAATGTTTATTTGCATTCTCCCGTTTACTTTATAGTTTTTAAATATGTCCACTTATTTTGCTCTATTTATTTGTTACATTTTTCCAAGTTCTCTTTTCCTCATGTATTTGTTACTTTATTTTTCCTAGTTATATTTTCCCCATTTATTTGTTCCTATATTTTTCCTAGTTATATTTTCTACATTTATTGGTTAACTTATTTTTCCTAGTTATATTTTTCTCATTTACTTCTTACCGTATTTTTCCTAGATATATGCAATGTTACCCATTTATTTGTTGACGTCTTTTCTCACGTTCTATTTGTCCCCCCCCCCCCCCCAGACGGAGTACCTCAAGTATTTTGAGTGGCGTCTACACTGGGAGGTGAGTCAGCCGACGCTGCCTCTGTGTGAGCTGTGCCAGAGACTCCACTCCCAGCAGAGGGCAGCGGCGTACCACGACGTTTACCGCTGGTGGGTGCAGGACATGTGCAGGGAGCCCACGGACATTTACCAGAGTTGACGCCTCTGTCTTCTTCACCTTGACACACCTTGTTCTTTGTACTTGTCCGTTATGGTACCCAGTGCCAATTCTTTGTCATCAATATATATATATATATATATATATATATATATATATATATATATATATATATATATATATATAGGGCCTATATATATATATATATATATATATATATAGCCTATACTTTTTGTTAAGGTAATTATTTCAGGATACAGGTCTCAATGACAAAGATGGCCAAACATATTAAGTCTCCTACGACTATTATGTCACATGACCAACTGTATCAGAAAGCCTGGGACTGTAGTAATTATCTTATATGTTTATTACTATGTAATTTTAGAGGGTGGGCTTGTCTGCGGATCATGTACGAGTCTTTGTTAATATACTGACATTGAATTTACAGCTGGTTTTCATTTTTAAACCTCTGTTGTTTCGTTCTACTTCTGAGTAGCTTGAGTTATCTGTCTGTCTGTCTGTCTGTTGATCTTTTTGTCTGTCTGTCTGTCTGTTTGTCTGTATGTATGTCTGTCTCTGTATATATATATATATATATATATATATATATATATATATATATATATATATATATATATATATATATATATATATATATATAATGTCCATTCACTACATTCCTTTCAAAGTGGATACTCCATATCCCAACACTTGTTTATATGTACACAACGTTGATTATTTTATTTACCTTGAAAGACATCGCAAGAGGACTATTGATTCAGTGAAAATAATATTCAGAATTATCTATAAAATAACACATGAACAAAAAGTGAGTTACAGTTCTTTGAACGTACGTTAGTATAAAATAAAACACCTGTCACCAAACGAAGCCAACCAAGCATCACTCGGTAGTAATTTATTCATATTTGGTCGCAGATATTTGGTCAAATCTGTGACACGTAGCCAAAGAGTATCGGGTTCGACATCTGGACTCGGGTCTGTAGGGCTTCCCTCAGCCCATTCGAGTCGGGGATACTAAAAAGCTCGTCATAATGCTGACCACTCAATCCCGACGTATGCCGAGGGCATAAAAATGGATGAGCTATATTTTTTCGTCTATCTAGCCTAAATGAGACATTGAATCAAATGTTTGAAACTCGTATTATTTGTTTCGTTTCTAAAACAAACTTTTTATCTTAAACAAATATTCCATCAACACACCGAACACGGGGCTTTATAACCACGAATAATCTTTGTTCAGAGTTCATATCCGTCCACTTCCATTACGCATAGAAATTATTCAGAGCGAACATTGAGATAAAATAATACTAACATGTTGATGTGTTTGGGGGCCCTAGGGGTCTGCCTGATCAGCCCCATCTCTTAATCCGCCACTGGCCACATCCGCCCACGCGAGCCTGTTGCTGTAGTGATTTGTTGTAACATTACTGCTGACACGTGAAGGTTTTTGTTAGCATAAATTTAGATCAATCATTGTTTACTGTTGCTCTAGATTTCCGTTTTATTTTGTATTTTTCTATCCATCCAATTTATAAAAGAGTTAACAGGTTATGTTTGTAAGATCAAGATCAACCAATTAACAAATGTGTCGGTTTTTTTTTTTCTTAATTAAACTTATTACGCTAACTACATTTTTTATTTTTAACATTTTTTAAGAACATACATACCCCCCCCCCCCTCCTCATCATTTCCACTATATTAATGCCCCTAACGGGTCCACAGGAATGATAATGATGTAATTAGCACCTTCTCTGTCAGCTGAATACACCAACCTTGACAGTCTGTCGATAAAAAAAAAACATGACACTACTACGGCTGACCATTGAAGGGCCGACAAAAATGTCGACCTGACTGTGATACACTCAATTTTTGTTACATTGTGTATAGTGGCACCATTTTATATACTAACGAGCTACTTCATTAATTATTGCCCTTAAAAACGCAGTACCCGCATTCATGAATGACAGGCTTCCCCACTGCCAAAAGCTCTAACGTTTGTAAACAAACACGATTCTGTCCCTTTGGCAGCGGTTACCCTCCCTACTGTTGCACAGGCTCGCGCAGGTACTGTAAATACTTCAAGTGATCTAAGTTAAGCCGGGAGTACCTTACACCATGACCAGTCTGCCACAAGAAGAAAAGTGAAATGTGTATGTAGGCTGTCAAATGCAAGGGCGGAGAACTCGGAATTTTTTTTTTCGTTTTCGAAATAAAGCAAGATTTTTTTTCAAACTTTACCTTTAGCTGAGTCCACCATTTAACATAGCTAAGCTGAGACTGTAATGTTGAAATTTACTTCTAATAAAAAAAGAACATCGTTTTGTTTTGTTTGTTCTTTCTACGTCGACATTTTCAAGCAACCAGCCCCCACCACAGGCCCCCGCCCCTGTCTGCACGCGCTCGCCGTGTAAGTTACGTCATACCGCAGGTGTGTGCTCTCCGCGTGCTGCTATAAGTGTGTCGGGTGGCTGTGTGTGTAGTTGGTGATCCTCCACACACCTGACCTACTTCACGTGTGTTGTGTGCTCCAGTGCTATCATCGTGTGCGAACATACAAAACAAAATATGAGATGTTTTCTGAGAATAATTTGACCTACGCATATTTGTTTTTATTCAACCACAATCTTGGTCGCATCAAAGGGCAGACTACTGAAATCAACAAGATACTTTTTTTAAAATAAAAAAAAAGCTTCATTTACTTCAAAGAGATCAGGAGATTAAAAACTATTTTTAATATTTAAAATTTTATCAAACGAATCAACTAAGATAAATTTAAATGTTTAACAAAACATGAAGTAGGACAACCTAGGTAAGTAAAGAATTTATGTTCCGTCTACTCACATACACATTACCTCTCGCAAGCATTCCTTCTAGTTAACTTCCATACGTAGACTTGGGTCATACTTAGCTTTATACTGTAGCGTGCACGGCTCAAGAATACTTTATCGATAGTCAAACACTTAACTCTACTTTTTCAACAGTAAAACACAACTTTACTTTATCAACAGTATAATGCTTAGAAATAATTTGTCAACAGTAAAACATTTAACTGTACTTTATCAACAGAGAAACACATCTGTACATTATCAACAGTAAAACTACATTATAAAAGAGTATAACACCTAGAAATAATGTATCAACAGTAAAACACTAACTGTGGTTTATCAACAGTCAAACACTTAACTGTACTTTATCAACAGTCAAACACTTAACTGTACTTTATCAACAGTCAAACACTTAACTGTAGTTTATCAACAGTCAAACACTTAACTGTACTTTATCAACAGGCAAACACTTAAGTACTTTATCAACAGTCAAACACTTAACTGTACTTTATCAACAGTCAAACACAACTGTATTTTATCAACAGTCAAACATTTAACTGTACTTTATCAACAGTCAAACACTTAACTGTACTTTATCAACAGTCAAACATTTAACTGTACTTTATCAACAGTCAAACATTTAACTGTACTTTATCAACAGTCAAACATTTAACTGTACTTTATCAACAGTCAAACATTTAACTGTACTTTATCAACAGTCAAACATTTAACTGTACTTTATCAACAGTCAAACATTTAACTGTACTTTATCAACAGTCACACACTTAACTGTACTTTATCAACAGTCAAACATTTAACTGTACTTTATCAACAGTCAAACACTTAACTGTACTTTATCAACAGTCAAACACTTAACTGTACTTTATCAACAGTCAAACACTTAACTGTACTTTATCAACAGTCAAACACTTAACTGTACTTTATCAACAGTCAAACACTTAACTGTACTTTATCAACAGTCAAACACTTAACTGTACTTTATCAACAGTCAAACACTTAACTGTACTTTATCAACAGTCAAACACTTAACTGTACTTTATCAACAGTCAAATACTTAACTACTTAATTAGGTCATGTCTGACAATGACGGTCCAGAGAAAGGGGGAGGGGAGGCGGTGGAGGACCTCGAGTGTAAGGGGGAGGAGAGGAAGGGGGAGGAGAGGAAGGATGAGACGGCGGAGGGAGAGAGGAAAGGGGAGGATCACGAGCTAACGGAGGAGGAGAGAAAGAGAGCAGAGCTGCTCATCCCGGAGAATCTTCAGGTAAAGAACTAACTAGGACGTGTGTTGGATGTTGGTATTCATTACTTCATTCTAGCAGGTTTTTTTTTTACATCTGTAAAATCGATTTAGCTATTTTTGTGCGAATTTGTATGAAAATTTAATTTACAGATATAATATTGATCTGAATTAAAAAAATATATAAGTATCAATGAGATAAGCGAACTTTTGGGGAAAATCTATTTACTTAAAACATTTTTTTCTTTGCTAAGGGAAATAAGTCAGGTAATATTTAGGGCAAAATCAATCTACCTCGGTTATATCCCCTCACAAAAATGAAAGTGGGAAAATTAAGGAATTGTTCGTTAAATCTTTCCCTGCATTCTCCTCGGAGAAGCGAAATAACTGTAGCTCGTGTTCAGTTATGTGCTATACAATAACATCATCAGTACCTCCACAATAACAGCATCAGTACCTCCACAATAACATCATCAGTACCTCCACAATAACATCATCAGTACCTCCACAATAACATCATCAGTACTTCCACAATAACAGCATCAGTACCTCCACAATAACATCATCAGTACTTCCACAATAACATCATCAGTACTTCCACAATAACAGCATCAGTACTTCCACAATAACATCATCAGTACCTCCACAATAACAGCATCAGTACCTCCACAATAACAGCATCAGTACCTCCACAATAACATCATCAGTACCTCCACAATAACATCATCAGTACCTCCACAATAACAGCATCAGTACCTCCACAATAACAGCATCAGTACCTCCACAATAACAGCATCAGTACCTCCACAATAACATCATCAGTACCTCCACAATAACAGCATCAGTACCTCCACAATAACAGCATCAGTACCTCCACAATAACATCATCAGTACCTCCACAATAACAGCATCAGTACCTCCACAATAACATCATCAGTACCTCCACAATAACAGCATCAATGCATCCACAATAACATCATCAGTACCTCCACAATAACATCATCAGTACCTCCACAATAACAGCATCAGTACCTCCACAATAACAGCATCAGTACCTCCACAATAACATCATCAGTACCTCCACAATAACATCATCAGTACCTCCACAATAACAGCATCAGTACCTCCACAATAACAGCATCAGTACCTCCACAATAACAGCATCAGTACTTCCACAATAACATCATCAGTACCTCCACAATAACATCATCAGTACCTCCACAATAACAGCATCAGTACCTCCACAATAACAGCATCAGTACCTCCACAATAACATCATCAGTACCTCCACAATAACATCATCAGTACCTCCACAATAACAGCATCAGTACCTCCACAATAACAGCATCAGTACCTCCACAATAACATCATCAGTACCTCCACAATAACAGCATCAGTACCTCCACAATAACATCATCAGTACCTCCACAATAACAGCATCAGTACCTCCACAATAACAGCATCAGTACCTCCACAATAACAGCATCAGTACCTCCACAATAACAGCATCAGTACCTCCACAATAACATCATCAGTACCTCCACAATAACATCATCAGTACTTCCACAATAACAGCATCAGTACCTCCACAATAACAGCATCAGTACCTCCACAATAACAGCATCAGTACCTCCACAATAACATCATCAGTACCTCCACAATAACATCATCAGTACCTCCACAATAACATCATCAGTACCTCCACAATAACAGCATCAGTACCTCCACAATAACAGCATCAGTACCTCCACAATAACAGCATCAGTACCTCCACAATAACATCATCAGTACCTCCACAATAACATCATCAGTACCTCCACAATAACATCATCAGTACCTCCACAATAACAGCATCAGTACCTCCACAATAACAGCATCAGTACCTCCACAATAACAGCATCAGTACCTCCACAATAACAGCATCAGTACCTCCACAATAACAGCATCAGTACCTCCACAATAACATCATCATTACCTCCACAATAACAGCATCAGTACCTCCACAATAACAGCATCAGTGCCTCCACAATAACATCATCAGTACCTCCACAATAACAGCATCAGTACCTCCACAATAACATCATCAGTACCTCCACAATAACATCATCAGTACCTCCACAATAACAGCATCATTACCTCCACAATAACAGCATCAGTACCTCCACAATAACATCATCAGTACTTCCACAATAACAGCATCAGTACCTCCACAATAACAGCATCAGTACCTCCACAATAACAGCATCAGTACCTCCACAATAACAGCATCAGTACCTCCACAATAACAGCATCAGTGCCTCCACAATAACATCATCAGTACCTCCACAATAACAGCATCAGTACCTCCACAATAACATCATCAGTACCTCCACAATAACATCATCAGTACCTCCACAATAACAGCATCATTACCTCCACAATAACAGCATCAGTACCTCCACAATAACAGCATCAGTACCTCCACAATAACATCATCAGTACCTCCACAATAACATCATCAGTACCTCCACAATAACATCATCAGTACCTCCACAATAACAGCATCAGTACCTCCACAATAACAGCATCAGTACCTCCACAATAACAGCATCAGTACCTCCACAATAACATCATCAGTACCTCCACAATAACATCATCAGTACCTCCACAATAACATCATCAGTACCTCCACAATAACAGCATCAGTACCTCCACAATAACAGCATCAGTACCTCCACAATAACAGCATCAGTACCTCCACAATAACAGCATCAGTACCTCCACAATAACATCATCAGTACCTCCACAATAACAGCATCAGTACCTCCACAATAACAGCATCAGTACCTCCACAATAACATCATCATTACCTCCACAATAACAGCATCAGTACCTCCACAATAACAGCATCAGTACCTCCACAATAACAGCATCAGTACCTCCACAATAACATCATCAGTACCTCCACAATAACATCATCAGTACCTCCACAATAACAGCATCAGTACCTCCACAATAACAGCATCAGTACCTCCACAATAACAGCATCAGTACCTCCACAATAACAGCATCAGTACCTCCACAATAACAGGATCAGTACCTCCACAATAACAGCATCAGTACCTCCACAATAACAGCATCAGTACCTCCACAATAACAGCATCAGTACCTCCACAATAACAGCATCAGTACCTCCACAATAACAGCATCAGTACCTCCACAATAACAGCATCAGTACCTCCACAATAACATCATCAGTACCTCCACAATAACAGCATCAGTACCTCCACAATAACAGCATCAGTACCTCCACAATAACAGCATCAGTACCTCCACAATAACAGCATCACCAACTTGAACGAAAACAAACAAGAGCACAACCAGTAAAAAAGCGATGGCACATCAACAACATCAGTAACAAGTATTTAACAACACAAAGAACAACAATAACATAATGCTAAAGCACAACACACGAACTACAACAACCGTATCAACAACAACAGGTAAACAATAACATCAACAACAACAGATTAACAACAACAACAACAACAACATTATCAACAACAACAGCAACTGATAAACATGAACTAAACTATCAACAACGACGTCAACATAATAACAACATTATCAACATCAACAGCATTATCAACAACAAAATTATCAACAACAACGGATCATCAACAAAATTATCAACAACGACATCAAGAACAATAACAACACTGTCACCAACAATATACTACAACAACAACATTATCAATGCCATCAACAACAACATTATCAACAACGCCATCAACAACAACATTATCAACAACGCCATCAACAACAACATTATCAACAACGCCATCAACAACAATATTATCAACAACGCCATCAACAACAATATTATCAACAACGCCATCAACAACAACATTATCAACAACGCCATCAACAACAACATTATCAACAACGCCATCAACAAAACCTACTGACGTGACGCTGCTGACACTCTCTAGAAAAAATAAATCGCCCCAGTGGGCGTCCATCCATCTTTCTAAGTCCTGCCATTTATCACAATTATACCCGGGGGTGGGGGCGGGCAGGGTGCAGACCCAGGGACAGAACGATGGTAAACACTAAATCCTATGGCAATCATCGTTGGAAGAGTGCTCATTTGTTAAGAGTGCCAAATTTAGCATAATTAATTAACTGGTTGTTAAAATGAAAGCACAAACCCAGAAGTTAATTTTTTGTTTTAAAAACTTTTCTTATAAGTTCGAATATTAATGACTGCAATTAAACGTTTTTAATCCCCCCCCCCCCCAACATCGCAAAAAGCAAGTCCCATCTATCCCCACGCACGTATATTAATCAACCCTCTCAAACTTTCAAAGGACCATATGTATATATATATATATATATATATATATATATATATATATATATATATATATATATATATATATATATATATATATATATATATATATATATATATATATATATATATATATATATATATTATCTTGGTGCAGGGGCGTAGCGAGGGGGTGGCGGGGGGGTGCGGACCGCACCGGGTGACACCATTTAGGGGGGTGACACCAAGGCAAAAAATTGCAAAATATATCGAGAAAAACTTGAGGGGGGTGGTGCAAATCGAAAGTTTGAGGGGGGGGGGGGAGGGCAAATCGAAATCTTGAGGGAGGTGGGTGCAAATCGAAAGTTTGAGGGGGGGGTGCAAATCGATAAATTGAGAGGGGGGGGGGGGGTGCAAATCGAAAACTTGAGGGGGGTGCAAATCGAAAGTTTGAGGGGGGGGAGTGCAAATCGAAAATTTGAAAGTTTGTCCCCGGGAAGGGTCGCTACGCCTCTGGGGGGGGGGGTGACAACATTAAGTGCCGCACCGGGTGACACCCGACCTCGCTATGCCACTGTCTTGGTGTATATCCTATTTGTTCATAAAAAATATCTCCCCTACATCACACATCACATTGTCAGACAAGTATCCCCCCATACCCCATACCCCATACCCTAATCAACCCCCACCCCTCCCCTTTCCCACAAAAGTTTCTCTACAGGCAACATTTATGGACGGCCCTCTAAGAAGTAAACAAAAACAAAGTTCAAATGTTTCTATGGTCACCTGGTCATCGCACCAAAATAGGATCAAACAGGATGTCGCATACTGCAGAGAATAACGGTCTAGCTATGTTTTATTGAACCAGCAGATGTGAAAATTAAAAACTTTGTCTCTTGGGCTTCCATACAAATTATTCGGGGCTATATTAGGTAGTTTTTTTGTTTTGTAAAAACATTCTGATTCATTCAAATGGCAATGTCGGTTTTCAAATAATTTTAAAAAGGCGAAGTTTCAATTTAAAGGATGATTGAAAGAAAATGGAACAAAAAACGAAACATTTTTTTAATGTGAAGTGTCTTTTACAAAAAAAAAAAAAACAACTAGTGACGTCATAGCCATAATTTCGTCGTATTTAAACCTAATGTGGGACCTGTACCATCATTGCCAGTTCTGACTATTTTCAGAAATGATTGGTTACAGAAATTATTGCTATTTTTAGAAATGAGTAATACTTTCAGAAATGAAACTACTGTTGGATACGATCTTATAATTATTATGCAATCCGAATATTTAGAAGTGACCATTGTATTCAAAATGTATTGGTACTTTTATATACGATTTTTAATATTGGAAACGATGACTAATTGTATAAGATCCCTTATTTTAGAAGTGATCCCTACTTTCAGATAAGTAGTTACCTTAAGTCTGAAACGTAGCCACGTGTGTATGTCTAAAGCTGATTCCTTTGTTGTATATTCTCCACTTGTTTTACAACCACCACCTGTCATTAATGTCCCCCACCTGTCATTAATGTCCTCCACCTATCATTAATGCCCACCACGTGCCATAAATGTCCCCTCCACCTCTCATTAATGTCCACCACCTCTCATTAATGTCCACCACCTGTCATTAATGTCCACCACCTGTCATTAATGTCCCCACCTGCCATTAATGTCCCCCACCTGTCATTAATGTCCCCCACCTGTCATTAATGTCCCCCACCTGTCATTAATGTCCCCCACCTGTCATTAATGTCCCCCACCTGTCATTAATGTCCCCCACCTGTCATTAATGTCCACCACCTGTCATTAATGTCCCCACCTGTCATTAATGTCCCCCACCTGTCATTAATGTCCCCCACCTGTCATTAATATCCCCCACCTGCCATTAATGTCCACATGTCATTAATGTCCCCCACCTGTCATTAATGTCCACATGTCATTAATGTCCCCCACCTGTCATTAATGTCCCCCACCTGTCATTAATGTCCCCCACCTGTCATTAATGTCCCCCACCTGCCATTAATGTCCTCCACCTTTCATTAATGTCCTCCACCTTTCATTAATGTCCACCACCTGCCATTAATGTCCACCACCTGCCATTAATGTCCACCACCTGTCATTAATGTCCACCACCTGTCATTAATGTCCACCACCTGTCATTAATGTCCCCCACTAATGTCCCCCATCTGTCCTTAATGTCCCACCACCTGTCATTAATGTCCACCACCTGTCATTAATGTCCCCCACTAATGTCCCCCATCTGTCCTTAATGTCCCACCACCTGTCATTAATGTCCACCACCTGTCATTAATGTCCCCCACTAATGTCCCCCATCTGTCCTTAATGTCCCACCACCTGTCATTAATGTCCACCACCTGTCATTAATGTCCACCATCTGTCATTAATGTCCCCCACCTGTCATTAATGTCCCCCACCTGTCATTAATGTCCACCACCTGCCATTAATGTCCTCCACCTGTCATTAATGTCCCCCACCTGTCATTAATGTCCCCCACCTGTCATTAATGTCCCCCACCTGACATTAATGTCCCCCACCTGACATTAATGTCCCCCACCTGTCATTAATGTCCACCACCTGTCATTAATGTCCCCCACCTGTCATTAATATCCCCCACCTGCCATTAATGCCCAGCGCCTGCTAGCCGACGCCCTGACCTACCAGTCGCCCGTCCAGTCGCTCAGGACCATCGTACGGTGTGGCGGGGACGTCAACGGGCCGGTCAAGAGGGGGCTCCGGCCCCTGCACTACGCCGTCCACTCTGGGTATGTGGAGGGGATCCAGTTCCTGTTGGAGCAGGGGGCGGACGTCAACGCCCCTGATGATATAGGGTATAGGCCCGTACACCTGTGTGCTAGGAAGGGTAGGTGGTCGTGGTGTGTAGTGTGTTGATGGAGTGTAGAGTGTTAGTGGTGTGTAGTGTGTTGGTGGTGTGTAGTGTAGTGTGTTGGTGGTGTGTAGTGTGTTGATGGAGTGTAGAGTGTTGATGGAGTGTGTTGATGTGAATAGTGTGTTGATGGTATGTAGTATGTTGACAGTGTGTAGGGGTCGGCGTGGGTTGGCTGGTAAAGCTAATGAGTCCCGGGTTCGAATCCCCCAGCAGACGAGTCTCGATAACTGGGGGCAGAATGTAGGAGAGCAAACTCTTAAATCAAACAACTGCTGATGTGTTTTTTTTTTTAGATGGACAAAGGCTATGGAAGCAAATCCAAATAGGAGTCAATGTCGAATAATGGGTTGACACGTAATACTTAATTGTGTTGGAGGAAATCCCATCCAACATAAAAATTAAAACAAAGAAGATTGTGTGTTGTGTGTTGCAGATGGTACATGACATATTACCCTGTAAGAGCCTCACCCACTAGTCCACCCCCAGACCTGCTGGAGCCACTGACGGTTGTGTGTAGTATGTTGATGATGTGTTACCTGGCATATTCCCCTGTAAGAACCTCACCCCTTGTCCACCCCCTGCTGGAGCCCCTGACATATTCCCCTGTAAGAACCTCACCCCCTTGTCCACCCCCTGCTGGAGCCCCTGCTATATGACATATTCCCCTGTAGGAACTTCACCCCCTGCTATATGACATATTCCCCTGTCAGAACCTCACCTTCTTGTCCACCCACAGGCCTGCTGGAGCCCCTGAAGATGTTGATTGACCACGGAGCTCAGGTCCATTTCTTTGTCGAGGATGTCGAGAACGCTGACCCGTCCAGGCACCTGGGATATCTGACCATTGGTGACTAGACTTTTATATCTGTCCATTGGTGACTAGACTTTTATATCTGACCATTGGTACTAGACTTTTATATCTGACCATTGGTGACTAGACTTTTATATCTGTCCATTGGTGACTAGACTTTTATATCTGACCATTGGTACTAGACTTTTATATCTGACCATTGGTGACTAGACTTTTATATCTGACCATTGGTGACTAGACTTTTATATCTGTCCATTGGTGACTAGACTTTTATATCTGTCCATTGGTGAATAGACTTTTATATCTGATCATTGGTACTAGACTTTTATATCTGACCATTGGTCGCCCGACTTATAACTGTCCAGTGGTGACTCGATTTTTATATCGGACTATTGGTGGATAAATTTATATTAGACCATTGATGACTAGTGTAGTGACTAGATTTACATCTGACCGTTGGTGATTAGACTTTTATCTAACCATTGGTAACTAGACTTTTATAACTGACCAGTAGTGACTCGACTTATATCTGAGCACAATGCAACTATACTTTCTAAAGAGTTAGATCGTTATTCCTCCTGGCTCCTGACCACTCCTCCCCCCCCACAGAGCCCCTCAACATGGCGCTAGAGAACAACCACGTGGAATGTGCCAGACTTCTGCTGTCCAGCGGGGCCAAGCCGGACAACCACTACTTCCTGGGCTACGAGATCAACCTGGTGCCCCTGGAGAACCTGGACTGCATGAAACTGCTGCTGGAGTTTGGTGCCGACCCCAACGTCTTCAGCCGGTCAGTCATCCGTGACGTCAGTTTGGGTGTTTGGTTTGGTGTGTCAGGTGGCGGGGAGATAGGTTGTCCATGTTGTCACGTGTCAGGTGTAGAAAGGTCATCTTATAGCGTCACTTTTGTCACTTGTCACTTTTGTCACTTGTCACTTTTGTCACTTTTGTCACTTGTCACTTTTGTCACTTGTCAGCGCTATTGCCATTGGTTAGCAGTGGTGACACTACGTACTATATTTGTCGCTTTTCTCATCACTTGCCACCATTAGCTAGCTTGTCACTAATATAGCCACCTGTTACCAGTATTAAAATGTATTACCAGTATCACCATGTGTCACCACTCACCCTTAATATCACCACTTCTCAATTATATCACTTTTGTCACCAGTATCACAACATGTCACCACCTGACACCAGGATCACCACTTATCACTGGTATCACCACTTGTCATGAATATCACCATTGGTCACCAATGTATCCACTTGTCACTTAGATTGTTTTACAATATTATCTTCCACATACCTAATATCCTAAAACCAATATCCGCTCCTCTCTCCTCCCCCCCCCCACAGCTGCGGCCTGTCCCCCCTGATGAAAGCCTGCAGACAACACAACATGCGCGTCACCAGACTGCTGCTAGACCACGGTGCCGACCTTGAACTTCAGCCAAGTTCAAGGTTCGAGCAGGTGACCTTGTTTGACATTCAGTTCTTCCATAAACTTTCCACTGTTTTAGTATCTCCCCCCCCCCCCTCCCCAGGGCCCACACACGCTAGACAGAAGAGGCACCCTCAGGTTAAAGTCTTCCCCCCCCCCCCCCTTTCTTCCCCTCCCAACCTTTCTATCATTAATTTCTAATTCATGATCTATTAATAAACACCTCATTAGATGGAGAATCTTGATTAAATAGGCCAACGATATTCTAATCAAGAACACATTTTAAAAATTATTAGTTGCTAAGCTATAATTACTCATTAATTTACGATTTGAACCAATTTATCAAAATTGCGAACATCATGTTTAAAAAAAATAGAGTGTTGACATTTAAAACGAATTGCCCTATTATGATTGGTTGATTTTAAAAGCCCGAGTCTGATTGGTTGATTTAAAGTTCAAACATCACTGCCGAGTAGTTTTATGACCGGAAATAGCCGGTTAGCCGGAGGTAGCTAGTCATAACATTTCACGACTTGACAGCAATAAAATAGAGAACCGGCTCGAAAGTGGTGTCTTGTGTCCGGTGTTTATTTTTCCATCATAAAACTCGGTTGTTTATTTTAGTTGATCGTGTTTTGTTATGTTGAGTGAAGTATTAGGAGGGTTTTGACAGCAAGGATCTGACCGGTTTTACACGGGGTAAAGTGTTTGATACCAGATCAAATCTAGATCTAGCAACAGGTGAACACTATATGTAGTTACAGATGTGTCTTATAAAGATTCTCCTACATCTGTTTAAAAAATATATCAGAAGCCGGATGCTCGCAACTCTCCCTTATACAACGTTAACGCTGGGCACTCAGTCAGTGTGAATGAATAATCTCCTACAACTTGCTTCAAATATTAGGGGACGGGCACCTACCAACTTACACACCCTCCACCCCCCACCTACACACACACAAACACACTAGAATTGTGCCCCCCCATTTATCTTGGTCGCCAAGTCGGATCTGTTCGATCAGTTCTTCCCCACCCTCAGAAAAAACAAACGTGGGGTGGGGGCATCCTATCCCAGTCAAATGTAACTTTGTTTTTCCTCTCAGTTGACCACGTTGACTAATATTTATTATTGCTCACCCCACCCCCCCCCCCCCCCCCCCCAGAAAACAGCCATCCACTACGCCGTACAGTCTGGCAGTACCGGCATCACCAACGCTCTGTTGAGGCGTGGGGCGGTGGTTGGCCGACCCCCGGGGTACAGGTAAGTCATTAATGTTAGCATTACACAGGTAAGTCATTAATGTTAGCATTTCACAGGTAAGTCACTAATGTTAGCATTACACAGGTAAGTCATTAATGTTAGTATTACACAGGTAAGTCATTAATGTTAGTATTATTTATACAGGTAAGTAATTAATGTTAGCATTACACAGGTAAGTCACATTAATGTTAGCATTACACAGGTAAGTCATTAATGTTAGCATTACACAGTTAAGGCATTAATGTTAGCATTATACAGGTAAGTCATTAATGTTAGTATTATTTATACAGATAAGTCATTAATGTTAGCATTACACAGGTAAGTCACATTAATGTTAGCATTATACAGGCAAGTCACATTAATGTTAGCTTTACACAGGTAAATCCTTTAGTCAGGTACTTGCCCAAGTCTAGTGGCGAACTTCGGGAAAAAATTGAACAATCTATAAAGACTTGTGACTAAAAATTCACACCTCACTAATAAATAAACAATAGATTTCAGAAAGTTGAGCACACATGACAGATGACTACATTAGTCTTAGCTACATAAAGGATTACTTTATTCACCTGGTGAAAGTGAAATTTTAATAGAAAATGTAATTGCTCTATCATTCTTTCCCTAAGACAAGAGACATTCCTCGACTTGAGCTATTGGGGGAAACGGCTTTATTTAACTATAGATAATATATTGTGACTTAAGTTTCTAAAATACTTTTTATTAACTTAACAAAATAAAACCTTTAGATTTTGCTTGCTTTTGTTTTAAATAAATCAATACCCCCCTCCATTACCCCCCCCCCCCCCAGGTACTCAGCCCTGCACACCGCCATCACGTGCGACAACCCGGACATGTGTGAGCTACTGCTCCGGTGGGAGGCGCACGTGGAGGAGGTGACCGACGAGAACTCCACCCCCCTGCAGTTGGCCTGCGCCACCCCCGGGCTCAAGCACCGGCTGGACATCGTCAAGGTTCTCCTCCAGTACGGGGCCAACCCCAACGCCAACGCCCCCTTCCTGTCCTACAGCAGCCCCTTCCTCTCCCCCCTCACGGAGTACATGCGCTGCGAGACGGAAGAAGTTCAGTATGACGTCATCCACGCGCTGATCCTGTACGGCGCTAAAGTTCACTTCTGCGCCGCCTCGACCTCCAGCCGCGCTAAAGACCCGCACGGCATCCTCCACTGCGTCCAGTACCTGAAAACCAAACCGGAAGTCTTCCACCTGCTGATCAGCGCGGCCAAGGTGTTCGACGCCGACTCCATCAAAGTCTACAGTAGCCTGTCGCCCGAGCAGAGGTTCACACTTCTCGCTGTGGCCGAGGCCCCGCGAGATCTAAGAACGCTAACTCATCTGTTTCTCAGAGACCACCTCAAGTCAAAACTCGTCGAGTGTGTTAGAGTTCTGCCCCTTCCCCGCCTCGTCAAACAGTTTCTGCTGTTTAACCCTACATCCGGGTTCCTAGATTCGCCCAAAGGGGAAGAAACTCCCCCACATTAGCATCAGCTGTACATAGAGAGACAACCATTTTATTTATATCAATCGTGCTGTGATCTGTAAAGTCAACTTACCTCCCCTATTTATTCACATTGTAAATACATTTCATGAGTTGCTGTACTTGTTTATGCGTATATTGTTTATTTCTTATGCTGTCTTTAAAAAAAAATGATTTAAAAAAAAAATAAAACTATCTTAATCACACTGAAAAGCAAAGCACGAAGTATGTGTATAGGTAGGGTGGGTGGGAAGGGGAGGGTTACAGTAAGGGAGAGCGTTTAATTGCCTCCTCGAGAAGTCCTGTTCGTACTCCGGTCAGATGAGGCTGGCTAGCTGATACACCTACCCATCTAGTAGAGAAAACTCCAAAATCAAACAACTGCTGTCGTAGATATTGTTCTTGGGTTGGATAAAGGCTAGCAAGTTCAGAGAGAAAAGCTTTCTGAGGTTGGAGGCAACGGGACACATGACGCATAACATGTTGACACGTAGTGCTTAATTGTGTTAGAGGAAATCCTTCCAGTAAGACATTTTAGACCAAAGATGAAGACATTTAAAAAGACTAATTTAACAATAAATACTTTGAATTACCCGTTTTTGATGAACTTGCTTCTTCTGGTGTTTTATTTTTCGGTCCGTCATGGATCGAAACTTTCGAGCGAAATTTCAACCATTTTTATCAACCTATTTCTGGTTCAGATCCGATAACAATGTGATGTGACATAAAATTTGACATAATTAAATGCTTCATTAATATTATAATTAATTAAAGATTGCTAAGTACAATCTTTTCGTGTTATAGCCTACTTGTGTGGGTTCATTTGGTGCACAAGTGCTTTTAATCTTGCGATTTGATTTTATGAACATTTATGTAGTGATTTCGCGAACTAAAATTCTATGATCTAGATACAAAATTATGTGAAGGGCCTATTTTTAAAAAAAGCCAAGTTTTATTAAAAATTTAATTAAGTATAACTACTACTGTGTGAAAACTCGTTACCTTCATGCTTCCTACACGTCCCCTCACAAATCCTCTCTTCTCCCCCACAATGGCCCACACATCACCTCATTTCCCCTACGATCCCCCACCATTCCCCCGCCCTCCCGGACATAATTTGAACAGATTGAGACAGAACTCTCCACTTTCCTTGAGCCAATTATCTGCTGCTAACTTTAGAGCTAAGCTGCGCGCGCATTTAACATCGTACAATCAAGAGTGGTCCACCTTTGAAAGACGTCCTAGTGGTAAACCTGTGGGTGACGTCCTAGTGGTCAACCTTTGGGTGACGTCCTAGTGGTCAACCTGTGGGTGACGTCCTAGTGGTCAACCTTTGGGTGACGTCCTAGTGGTCAACCTCTGGGTGACGTCCTAGTGGTCAACCTTTGGGTGACGTCCTAGTGGTCAACCTCTGGGTGACGTCCTAGTGGTCAACCTTTGGGTGACGTCCTAGTGGTCAACCTCTGGGTGACGTCCTAGTGGTCAACCTCTGGGAGACGTCCTAGTGGTCAACCTCTGGGTGACGTCCTAGTGGTCAACCTCTGGGTGACGTCCTAGTGGTCAACCTCTGGATGACGTCCTAGTGGTCAACCTTTTGGAGACGTCCTAGTGGTCAACGTTTGGGTGACGTCCTAGTGGTCAACCTCTGGGTGACGTCCTAGTGGTCAACCTCTGGGTGACGTCCTAGTGGTCAACCTCTGGGTGACGTCCTAGTGGTCAACCTCTGGGTGACGTCCTAGTGGTCAACCTCTGGGTGACGTCCTAGTGGTCAACCTCTGGGTGACGTCCTAGTGGTCAACCTCTGGGGGACGTCCTATTAGTCAACCTTTGGGAGACGTCCTAGTGGTCAACCTCTGTGAGACGTCCTAGTGGTCAACCTCTGGGTGACGTCCTATTAGTCAACCTTTGGGAGACGTCCTAGTGGTCAATCTTTGGGAGAGGTCGAGGCCAAACAAAATCTACCGTAATTGTTCATTAATTCTAAGCTAGTGAGAAAATATTCCTATTAGTAACTTGACTAAATAACTGTTTACAAATAAACAACAGATACCTTTTTATATTCATACTCGAAAATTACAACGGAATCTGATGTAAAATTGATGTTTCGGGAAAAAATTTATTCGTCTTTTTGAAAGTGTGTCGTTGAACACTTTACCAAAAGTGATGATGTAGGTCGGTAAATTTTAATAAGTGAGTAAAAGTCATGCTGGTTAGTATAAATTATTGCGTAGTATACGTATAGAAATAATTAATAATTATTATTATAATAATTAAGCCTAATTACTAATATTAACTAATCAAATAATTGGTATGGAGACAGCAACCCATCTAGGAGAGAAAACTCCAAAATCTGCACTTGTAGTTTGCTCTTGGTTGGACAAAGGCTATGGAAGCAAGTCTAAAAAGAAGCAGGCTGAAATCTGAGTCAATGGCCATATTGCACATACCATGTTGACACCCAATACTCAATTATGTTGGAGGAGATTTATTTCAAAATATAATTGAGAACGAAGAAGATGTAGACTATAGTGATGTAAAAACCATAAGCAATATAACAAACAGAGGCGTAGCGAGGGGGGGGAGGGGCGGGGGTGCGGAACGCACCGGGTGACACCATTTAGGGGGATAACACCAAGGCAAAAAAATAGCAAAATATATATAGAAAAACTTGATGGGGGGGGGGGGGCAAATCGAAAACTTGAAAGTTTGTCCCCGGGAAGGGTCGCTACGCCTCTGGGGGGTGACACCATTAAGTGCCGCACAGGGTGACACCCGACCTCGCTACGCCACTGATTACAAGACCATGAGATTCGCTACTAAACGATATATCCTTTAACGAGGCCACGAAAGACCACGTCCCATAGGCTTTGGCTGATATCACGTGATCATCACACTCCCAAATGACGTGGTGGGGGGGGGGGGGGGCTATTTAGGTCACACGTGATTGATGACAGTTCCTTAAAAACTCGGAGCATTTTAAAAAGTTATTTAAATTCTGCAATTCACGAAAAACAAAATTCCGGGAAATTGACTAAATAATTTTAAAATATTTCCTGAAAGTGTTCCATGAACAGTAAACATTTTTTAAAAAGTTTTTCACATACAGCCCTACAAGAAGATTTAGCCCTTAGAAACTAAAAATAACACATTTGTTAAAATATTTTAGCGGCTAACAGAGGAAAAAAATGGCGATTTAACCCTAAACTTAACCCTATTACATGTACACATTAGAGACAGGCAAAACTTTTGTTTTAGAGTTTAGAGGTGTATAATTTAGATTTTTTTTTGTATGCAAAACTGGCGTGTTTAAATAAATGGGTTCGTTATTTTCATGAGCAGTTATCTTTGTCTGAGTAGATTATTTTATTTGTCCTCTCGTAGGTCTGTGATCTAAAGGCTTTACTTGTTTAGCCTGGGAGGAATAATACTTTAGTGGGTTTTAATCAGCTTCAACACTGCTTTCTTAAACTTTATATATGACAAGTGCGCTGGAGTATGCGCACTAACGTGAAGGGAAATGCGCACTAAGAAAAATTGAAGTGCGTACTAGAAAGAGAGAAATAATAAGGGATAAGGGAAACATACATTAAGACGAAGAAACTTGTGCGTGAAGGAAATGCGCACTAAGAAAAATTGAAGTGTGTACTAGCAAGATAGAAATATTCAGGAATAAGGGGAAACATACATTAAGAAGACATTAGACATTCCGAATTTCGGGACATCAAAATTGAAAAAGTTTTAAAGCTAATAATTCCCACGTTTTTTTTGAGTTTCATTAAATTATGGGGTAAATTATCTCGACATTGCGCAACACTTCAGCTTTTAACTCTGTGTGGATATTCTTTTGAGTTCATCAAACAACGCCTTCAACCGTCTCGATTTACTTTAGCTGGGCAGCCAGCAAAGGGTTAAACACATTTCGCTGGAGACATCAGAGAGCGCTTATTAATTTTGCTTCAGATCGTCACCCCACTGCGCATGTCTATAATCTAGCTCACGTGACAGTCAACCGGTTCGAATTTTAAAACTAAAAAAAACAAAAACCTTAACCCAGCCCAGAAAGGGTTAAACTTTCCCGCCCTCGAAACTCCCGTCCTGGTGTTGTATTTCCGGCCTACGCCCACAAACTACTTGTTTTCTCCCAACCTCGGCGGACTGAAGATTTCAATTATCTTCCCCTGCCTCTGGCCAGCGGTTCTGTTCGCCTGCACGCGGCGCCAATGAAAATATGCCTGTTAGGCTTTCTATAAAAACAAAAATAACACACGCACAAAGTTAAGATTTTTCGTAATAAAAAAAAAATGCTGTTTAAAATTATGTGCATCGCGAAAGGGCGTACTTAGTTTAATGCGCGCATTTAAAAAATCGCACAAAAACAATTAAATATCTCCAATCCCAAGCGGGACTTACAGCATCAAAAAAAGGGAAAGTAAAGCTTCAATATAAAGTGGTAGTTATTAGGAGTAATTAAAGCTAAGTTTTGATTAGCCTTCAACAAGCAGACGTCGACAAAGAACAAGGGGACAAAATTTTTTATTTCGACACAAGTGTTTCGCTTAGACGCCACATTATGTCTCGACGCTTCCTAATGACGCGTGACTCCAGGTATGACATTACGTCTCGACTCATGACTCCAGGTCTCACATCACGTCTCGACTCATGACTCCAGGTCTCACATCACGTCTCGACTCATGACTCCAGGTCTCACATCACGTCTCGACTCATGACTCCAGGTATCACATCACGTCTCGACTCCTCCTAATGACGCGTGACTCTGCTACTGAAACTCTTCCACCACAATTTCCCGTACCTCACCCACAGTCCACCACACGAGAACCCCCGGGCTAAACGCTATTGATTAACCCCAGGAGACACGCTGGGCTGGATTGGGTTTCTGTCTCGCTAGTTGCTTCCCAGAAAAGCTTCCAGTATTTTCTTCACGAGATTCCGCACATTTTTTACTGCAACATTTTATAAGCCTTTCTTTACTGCATCATTTTATAAGCCTTTCTTTACTGCAACATTTTATAAGCCTTTCTTTACTGCAACATTTTATAAGCCTTTCTTTACTGCAACATTTTATAAGCCTTTCTTTACTGCAACATTTTATAAGC